AGCTCGTCGTTCTCTTTCAGACTACTCAATGAAGATTCGAGTGTCTCTCTCGAACTCCTTCTCCAGCCTCGCTGTTCCTCGTGGCAACGGCCACTTTCCGGCCGCAACTTTTCCAAGCTAGGTAACACTTTGCGTCTCGCGATCCGCTTCAAACGCTCTCGCAACGCGCCTGGCGTTTTTCTTCCCTCGCGATACGTCGGTTAACGATCTCGGCCGTTTACGCAACGACGAGATCGAGTCATCGTGATCGGGAAAACGGCCACGCTCGGGAATAGAACACGCTCGTGAATAACGCGTAACGATATAAATTCCATTTCCCTCGTTCAATGAATACCGACTTTGATAAACAGTTCGATAAATCCGGCTGCAGCGGCAGAAACAGCGTAATTTTTGTTCGAAGCGTCACTAGGGACGAATGATAAATCATAGGCGGGCAAAAAGGAGCGCCGGGATTATTTCCCGCGGAACGAATCGCGAGGGCAAACAATTCCGCGCCGAAAAAATGACGCGAGTACAACGATACGGAGCTAACGATACAAGCTACTCGATTTTTCTGATTTATCGAACGGGGCTCGCAGGGATCACCGCTTAATGCCGCATAATCCGCGTTAGTAAAATCAATTTTAAATCTAGGCGCGCTTGTAAACGTCGTCCTCGAATGAAATTACGATATCCACGTCGAGGCAACGATTTTCCTCGGCCATCGAAACGCGAATAATATTTTTAATCTGCCAAGCATCCTCCGAGCTAACTTGTCGAGTATCGTTCGGGCTGAATGGCACTTGGAACGGGACTTGCTACGAAATTGCGACTCGCGTCGCGTGCACGCGGCATTTTCGACTCGAGCTTCCACGTACTTTCGCGCGAACAATAAAATACGAGGTTCGATGTGCAGCGCACGAGCAACGAGAATTCCGTGGAATCGTTTTTCGATGCGCCAGTCGCATTCTTTCGACGCCCATAATTAACAGTATCGCGCTTTGTGAGGTTCGACGCGGTGATCGCAACAGTTTCGCAGAGCTTCGATCGTTAACCTTTCAAAATTAATTAAAGTTATTCGACCACTTTGACCTCGTCAGCCGTGACGGTCCAATCGACGCGACAGGCCAGCACGGGCTTTTTCTGTCTCTCCTTCGTCGAACTTTCGACCCTGAAACGGACAGGGTCGAGATAGGCAAGAAACGGCGAGGAACACACAGGGTGAAAGTTGAGAAATAAACGTAAGACGTTTTAAGCGCTCGACAGAGGAAAGTTTCGCGTATCCTCCTCGCGGAATAGTCATTGCGGAACTACTTATCCAATAATTACGCTCGTGATTGACGATCGATTGCCCGGGTAACTTTGGCAGTAACCAGTCGCGAGTTTTCGAGGGGGTGAAATGGGTCGGGATTACGAAATACGGGTTGCAAAAGCTCGCGCGCTTTTCTCCCCCGTGCAACGCTTTTGCGACAATCACGGTCCTCAAACTTTTGCTTCTTCCGGCCGACTTTCGTTCCCCGTGTAAATCCCGGCTATGAATCGCGCGAAACGACTTTTCAAATACGAAGCAATTAGTAGGGTGTTACCGCTGAAAGCCTTCGCAAGATTTGTTCGTGATTTTGAAACCGGTGGTATCCGAAAGGGACGAAGGTGTCGAGAAACGATGGGTCGCGTCGCTAAGCTTTCTCTATTTCGGATTACAATTTCGTTGGAATTTTCGTACCACGAAGTTTCGAGTTTCGCTATACACTGCGTGCTCCATTTCGTCACGCTTCCGCCGATAATCTCGCAATTGTCATTCGACCTCGTCGTTCCTCGAATCTCGCGATACAAATAGGCAAGACGACAAAAGGTCGTTCCTCGTGTATACGTCTTTGAAGTTTGGTTGAACGACCATTCGGATTGTCCTCGGCGCAAAGGCACAAGGGTTTCGTAAACAAAATTCGAGCACAGGGTCGGACGCGATCGAAAATAAAGAGTGATTCACGAGATTTCCGGGTGGCTCGCGTGAAACCGACCGTTAACGACGAATCGGTAGTATGACGGTGTAAATAAAGCGACCTTGACTTTCTGGCATTTCCGGGCAGCGATGGATCTTGATTGCTTTCTGAGTGCCTCCAGAGGAAACCGCTTTCCACGAGATGTGTTCCAGCCAGCTCCACCACGGCAGCACTTCTAACTTACACTGCGGTTCACGTTCACGATGCGAGAAGATCACTGAGCGACGCGGGGAGATCTCACGGTCACGCGACGCCTGGATCAACGCGGTCCTCGGCAAGGGTACCGGTAGCCGGGACTCTTGAATGAAAAGCCTGCAGAAGTCGCGGACACGTGGTTGGAATGTACAGCACTGGGACACCGAGAGTTAAGACGCATTCGAGAAACACGGGCGGCGATCAGTCGGTGGATGAAAGGAGGAATAGTCACAGACACGAGATCCGGTGTAAGCACGCGAAAGCCACGACGGATGAATCGCTCGCGGCGCGGTCTGGGCGGTGACTGAGCGGACCGAGGCGTCTCGACGCACGGCATCTCTCCCACCCCTCTCTCTACATCCTGCAAGCCTGACGGATACCACTTTTCGGTCGCTTCGTTGTCCGCATCTAGCTTTGCCGCGTGACATTCGACGCTATTGTTTTGCGTTGTGTTGTTATTCACCCCGACCCCCGCGAGATTCCACGCACTTTGCTAGGCCGGTTCGAGTCCCGATGCGTGTCTTCTGGCAATTTCAGAGAGCACTGCCCATTGTCTGTTAACGTCTGTTACAAATGAACGAATTGGAAGATGGATGGAGACGATGCACGAGGGAACGAAACGCCCGGTGATAAGGATTATGGCTGGCTAGACGTTCCGCCCTGTACCCGTATACGCGTCTTTATGAGGATATATCGCCTCTGTTTTTCACCGGTTAATAACCTTTGAAAAGTTCCTCGTTATCCCGTAACGTTGTTAAACGTCCCGGAACTCTAGCCAACTCGCGACGAAGTTAAGTAATTGCGCGAAGATTACAATAGCGAGTATTGCGTTTCAATAGCATGACAGCCGAGCAACGGGGAGGTAAAAACTTTAGCTCGTTGCATCGACGCGCGATTCGCTAAGAGGGAAGAGGTTTCAGATATCGAACCGGACGGCAATCCAATCTTCATCCGCCTTGCAGCCCGTTCCTTGCCACTTTCGCTCCCAAAAGAATCGGCAATCGTTGAAACTCTTGATTAACCCTGTTCCCGTTCGTTGCCTCGTTAATTTCATCCCTACCGCCTCCGAGTCCAGTACGTATCCTGCGAGGAATATAATCTGGTAAAATATGCACGAAGAATCCATCCTTTGTAAGTCGAAAAATTCCTCAGGTTACTTACCGGGAATAGCGTGCCGACGAAAATGGTAAGTGCCACGAGGAATCGATTCCACGTGAGTGTTGACTTCTCGACGACGAAGCGCCTTTCAATTACTCTTCACTCGATCCAGCCATAATCCAGCGAGAAAACGTTTCTGGAAACAATTACGGTTAAAGAAGCAAGCTGTTAATGTCATCCGGCCGCCTCTGTTCGTTTTCGTCGAGCGAATTACGAATTGCTGGTATTCTGATGCCGGAAACGTTTTCCGTTTGGCTCATTCGGTTCAGCGACGCGAAGATAGTACCGTTGAGAATTCGCGGGTTAGTCTAAATGACGAGCAAACTACTTCGATAAGGCGTACGACTAATTTGGAGAATTAACGATTCGTACAACGCAAATACCTGGTAGAGATAGCATTATGTCGAACAGACTATACGCATCCACTCGGTCAAGTTATTTTAATTATTTCTCGTTCTTGAATGCCTGTGGGCAAAAAAAGATGCTATTAATCAAGTAAATTTATTTAGATCGTTGAAATTAAAAATATTTACACTTTGAAGGACATTCCAAGAGCAGGTATATAAGGATGAGTCAACCTCTGCACGGCTGGTCCATAGCGGATTCCTGTCGAGGAAGGTCAACTCCATTCAGGAAGATGCATTTACTTTCAACGTAACCTATTTCTGGAAAATCTACTTTCGACTCTTTTCAATCACATAATGCAGTCTTTTCCTTCTTTTTTTATTTTTTTTTTTTATTTTTATTTTGACTAGCGAATTTTTTAAACCTTTTTCTCGGTTGTTCCATTTCCGTTCGTAAAATCGTGGTCGAAAAACATTTCAACCTTAGAGATGACTTTAATTTAATCAGTCCAATACCAGTGGCGGCCTCTAAATTATGCGCATGCATATTAAGCGGCGGATTTTTAAAAGCGCTCCCTGATTCTTTGCGCGCTTACTAATTGTTCTTGCAAAAATGGAAATTCGCCGGCACAATTCCTTTCTAAGAGGCGCTCGCAGAGCGTCGAGTACGCTGAGATGCGGTCGGCAAGTTTCCTCGTTGAAACTTAACTCTGGTGCTCGACGCCGGATCGGTTAAGGACGCGCTGTTACGCGTCGAGATGCTCTTAATCGTCCACTGTCGTTCTTTCCGACGACTCGATTTCTTTCGATCGTTTTATCGAAATACTCTTTCTAACCTATCGTATCGTACGAGATTCTATTTTTCTACGTTTCGCTCTAAAACATTTATTTATCGCACCTTGTATCGTTACTGTGAAAATAAATTTATCAAAGTATATCTCGTACCTTGTATTTCCCGTTTAGCATTGGTTAGAGGCATCTCAAACCTGTTTGAAGGTTAATGTTATGAAACGCCGCGAGCGGGTAACCGTTTCAAATCTACGTATCTTCTTCATTCCGATTAATGAATTTGATGTTGAAAGACACTCACAGAGGCGATTATTATTTTACGGTAAAAATTGATCGAATAAACATGTCAGTCTACGCGGCACGAAATAACAGGCTATAAACAATTCATTTAATGGTACTTTGCATTATTTTATTATATTTGTCACATTTATAAAATAATTTTTTGACGCACAGACGCTAAAAAATTTAGATCGAAACTGACTTCGATTTGAACGACAGCTGCGCCACTTCGATTACAGCACCATCTACTTCTCATTGCAAATAGTTTGAGATAGTATTTTGCTGAATTCAGAGTAAATTTTGACAGTATTGCGCGTGATTGTTTCATGTAACGTTTGGAAAATATCCTTTGTATTAGCTATTTTGCAAATTATATAATAATAGGAAATGGCAACAGGTCTTTGTATCGGCAATGGTAAGCAAACATAATTTGATTTTAAGGTTAAGACGTAGTTTTATACAATTTATAAACTTGCACTCTTGTCTGCAAGTTCCAGCTAAAAAACAATGCCCTTACATGGAAAAATGTTATCGCAAAAACCCAATTCATTTCAACGAAATGTCACACCCGCACTGTGAGTACCAACCATTTGTTTTCAATCTTGTACAATAATTATTCAGTTGTGAGAAGCAAACAACACGTATCCCATTTCAGTGGAAAAAATTGTAATGAATCAACTAGAAGGCGAAATACAGATACCCGAAATACTTGATTTTGAGTGTTCCGATCGATCTCTCTTAGTAGACCAACTGAAGATCTTGCAGATGGTTTTGAGAAAAGAGCAAAATAAAAATGGAAATACTTCTTCAGCCAAAGAATTACAATCCAAAGTAAGTAGTACAAGTTCAAAAACTACAAACGAAGGTAGTACTTGCAGTGAAAATTTAATGGACAAAGTAGAAAGACATAAACAAACAATGATTCAAAGGAGGGACAATAAATTAAAAAGTATGGACGAAGAAGCAGGGGCACTTTTTAAATCTTCCAATGAAAAAAGTAACGTAGATCAGAATAAAGTTTCTAAAATGGAGGAGGAATTAGATAATCTTAAAATAGTCGAAGAAAGCATAGAAAGAAAGTTTTCTCAAGAAAAGAAGAGACATAACAGTAGTTTGGGTGATAATGAAAGGGAAAAAAAGAAATCAAAGTCAAGTCATAGTAAATGCAATGAAATGGATCAAGAATGCGTTGAAATTACAAACAAAGGTTCAGAAAATAGTCAAAGCTCTAGTTCTTCGAGTGGAACGTCTTTGATAGAAACTTTTAATTCGTGCAATTCTGCAAAGTCTAGAAACGAAGTCAGACAGAAAGCGATTAAGATGATGAAACAGCAAGGGTTCGAGGTGTCTGTAGTTGAGCCAGGAAATTTTGACATGAGATATGCTCTTTCAGCCCCGTATCATTTATTCTTTTCAAGAGTACAAAAGTCGAAAGCCACGTACGATCAACAATTTTCTATAACATTTCCTGAAATCTTAGACATTAGTTTAGGAGAAATTGAAAATAGTTTGCACATTAATTTTATGGTTGACGTTGGATGGTTATGCTTGCAATATTTGTTAGCTGGACAACGCACAGATATGTTCATTTTATTTGGAGAAAGGGTAGACGAAGAAAAGCTGAGCTTAAACATTACCATGATACACGTACCTATGCCAACAAGATTTGGTTGTCATCACACTAAAATAATGATCCTAAAATACAAAGATGAGGGATTACGGGTCGTGGTATCTACCGCGAATTTGTACTCGGACGATTGGGAAAATAGAACACAAGGGTCTGTCATATAATTATAGAGGTCATTTTGTACTTGTATTAAAAGGTAAATCTTAATAGATAAATTGTTGATTCGATTTTGTTGACCAGAGTTTGGATATCGCCGCATCTTCCTCCACTGCCTGAATCTGCAAACCCCAGCGACGGAGAATCACCGACTGGTTTCAAGAAGGATTTAGAACGTTATCTGCACAAATACCGGCAGCCAGCTTTAACGGAATGGATCACTGCTGTAAGAAGAGCAGACTTCTCTTCGGTAAATGTATTCTTTTTGGCATCTGTTCCTGGGAGACACGCAGGTGTGGAATATGATTATTGGGGACATAGAAAATTAGGTTCCGTTCTTTCTAAACACGCCAAGTTACCTCCCGATGCACCACGGTGGCCGTTAATTGCTCAAAGTTCGAGTATCGGGAGCTTAGGCCCTAACTATGAAAGTTGGCTTCAGAAAGAGATAACATCTTCGATGTCGAAAGAAAATCCAATAGGTTTAAAGAGTCAACCAAACTTTCAGTTTATTTACCCATCTATAAACAATTATAAACAAAGCTTTGATTGTCGAGTTGGCTCTTGTTGCCTACCATACAGCCTTCAAACGCATAGTAAACAAGAATGGATAGAATCCTACATGTAGTAAGTTCTCAATATTTACTTACATCTTACACTGTCAGATATAATTTATAACGATATTTTTAGTCAATGGAAGGCTACGCGGACTGCCAGGGACAGAGCAATGCCTCATATAAAGTCTTACACGAGAATTTCACCCGATTGGAAACAAATTCCGTGGTTTGTCCTCACCAGTGCAAATTTGAGTAAAGCCGCATGGGGAACGGTCAGAAAAGATTCTCATTACATTATGAACTACGAAGCTGGCGTTGTATTTATTCCGCAATTAATTGTACGTAAAAGTAACGTTTATTCGTATACGTTCTTATGGAAACGAACGTTCCAAGCATATACCATCAATTTTATAGAATGGATCGACCACATTTCCTATTGAAGAAGATGAAGCAGGTGTTCCAGTCTTTCCCATTCCATACGACGTACCTCTAACTCGATACGAAAACGATGATAAACCATTTGTTACGGAGTTCTTTTCCAGTTAATGACATTTAGAAATCGTAAAACAGTATTGTGCGAAAGTTATATCTATTTATTATCCACTATATTTTCGCAAAGCAGAGTATGAAATGAATTGTAATGTAATGTACAAATGATTTTTTTTTTTTTATAATAAATATTATATTAATTGCTTCTACATCATCACGAAATATATACCGACTGGACATCACGAATGGAAAAGAACCGTATCTGGCGTTCGTTTGAAATTGCTCTCCGCCCTATCTTTGCGTACATTGGCTAAAAGGATTCCGGCAGGCTAATAGAAATTTTACGACGCCTGAAATTCTCACGTCGCACGTGACTTATTTGTTGATTCGCTCGAGATTCGTGCCGATTTCGTGGTTGCTCATTCGCGGATCGCGTAAGCTTTGCTTGCTCTTCTCCCCCGTACCAATTACACATAGCGTAGCTATGCTTTGAGAAACGTGTCACGGAAATATTAGATCGAGAGATTTTTTATACTTGAGAAAAAGAAAAGGAAAAAATGTGTTAAACAACGATGAATGAGCTGATTTTACTAATCTTATACAGTAAAGGAGATTTTAAATAATTTTTATCTCTCTGTACCCTGTGAAAAAAGTATCTCTATGCAAAGTTCTCTACTTTTCATCGTTTATATTACCCACGGCATATTTTAATCATTACATAAACGTCTAACGCATAAACAGATGATTTTTCAAGAAATAATTCACATTGGATTACCGGAGATTTGAATGTCCTACCATCACGATCGATATATCGATCAATTTGCTGTCGCTCGAATATTAAAATCGAGTCGGTTTGTTTTTTTTTCTCGCTAAAACTGACCGACGAGAAAACGAGAAAACGAAAAGTCTGTATGCTACGAGTGATTTATATTCGCGTTAGATCGTAATAATTTAACGCTATGATAATGAAGTGACGCGACGATATTTTAATTTTGAAAGATACTACCGATTTGCCCGGTGTCGTGACAAGCTCCTTCCCATCGAACCTCGTAAAAGAGCTACTTTATTAATAAGTATCGAGAAAACCGCCGCCTGCGTCTTTTTTTATACAGAATCCGTATAATCTAGCAATGAATATAAAAGTAGCCTCTGTCAGGCGTACGGGCCAGCGAACAGTAAATCATAGAAAGTTCAAGGATACTCGGATTTTCACTCTACTTCCTCTGACGCTGTGCAAAGTCTGCTGAGAAGTCGGGTGGTAGACGGTTTTACGCGCGAATCGCAGAATCAAAGCTGGAACCGCGAGCGGCGATTGTTCCTTTTTCAGTCAGGCCAAATGTCCCGCCAAACCAGTCTGACCGAGGGGTTTCAAGTTGACTTTTTGCGGTTGAGCTCGTAAAGGCAAGGACGTTAAAAATGGCAGAGCGGCGTCATCCCGGTGCAGTCCACGGACTGCTTGGTTTTCCATTAAGAAAGGCGGCAAAGGATTTTGACGTCAACGCGCAGCGAGGTTTCGCCTCCCACTAGGAACCGGCTTCATGGTTGGGAGTCCTCGGCGCAGCTGCGACTTCTGGAAAGGGACGTCCCGGCGCCTCTGACGCCGACGACCACATCGAACCCGGGGACGCGTCGATCAGCAGTTTGTGAGATGTCGTCGACACGGACGCGCACTTCTTAGCCCTGTTGGTTACGTGGGTTCCCCGTATACGTGCAGCATATAAGCATCCGCAGATGCGTGTCGCCGTGAATAGCCAGGCACAGGAAGAAGAACGACTCGCGTCCTCGGCATTTCCACCTGGCAGACCGCGGCTAGATAGCGCATCGATTCGCAAGCTGCAAACGGTGGAGAGCTTGCACAGCGACCGGGACGATAACGATCCAGCGATAGAGTGCGAGCGGCTGTGATCAAAAAGGGAAACACACAGACAGTTCGGTTTGGAGAAGCGGCGATGGCGTAGTGGCGCACTGCGAACCTCCACGGGGCACGCCGCAGTTTCGAGACGAATTTTAGGAAGAACGCGGCCAACAGGGTACGTGTCTCGCGTGACAATCGCGCGACAACTCGAAAGGGGGAAAGTATCGAAAGTGGCTTTCGCCGGAAATTTTGAATCCGCTAGTGTTCTGCCCGAAAATTCCGCGTTGCGTTACGTTACATTCGAGCGTTACATCAGTGGTTGTTACTACACGGTGTCGTCGGTTGCTCTTGCTCAGCCGCGATTCGTCATCGGTTTGTTTGTCCATCGACGTGCTTACAACGATCAGTAACGTTGCGAGACACGCGCGATTCATCCGTGCCTATTTCTGATGTGCCGTTTATTCATCAACGATCCCCTGCCAGCTGGCAGGAGTATAGCGCGCGGTTATATCGAACGGAATATTCTCGGTATTTCCATTGTTAATTAGCGAATGCACAGTTTTCACTTCTTCGATTGTCCCATTGATCCCCGAGTGCTCTGCTCGCATGCTGCTAGCTTTAAAGTGACATCGTCTAATATTGACCGCTGTCTTGTTCGTATTACCGTCAAGTGTCTGGCCCGCGATCTTAAGAAGCAACTCGCGAGTCTAGTGGAATCTTCCGTGTTACACGATATCAATTAAAAGCTCAGACACGTCACGAAAACGCTTATTTTCATTGCTTTTTCGCCGTAAAGCGTACAGACGTCAGTTTCTCACGTTTCAGATTCGAGGTGCTTCCTGTGCAAACGCTTGACGCCTGTTCATCGAAACGACCGGATGCATCTCGCCACGAGACTGTTCGCCATGAGCCTTCGGTTCATCTGTGATCCTCTGTCATGCTAGTAGAGCAACCGGGCTGCTCATCGACGAGAAGCGAGCCAGGAAACACCGTCCGTCTCGACGGCGAATCGATAAAGTGGAGCGTGGCTATCCGACGGTGGAGAAATTCCAAAGCCTGACCACGCGGGGATCTTACTCCTGGTGCAGTTCGAGGACGCGCGACGAGCTAACCCGATCAGGATGTTAACCTGCTGGGTGCTGACCGGTGTGTTCGGAGTCATCGTGCTGCTTTACGGCCTAATAGAGATCCACTATTTCCTGCGTATGTTCTTCACCGTCTTCTTCGCGCGTTTCTGCAAGAAGAGGGTGCACATCCTCGACGAGACCACCGTCTATGGTACGTTGGCCACCCTGAATGGGATCAGAGATAACGTTAATTAGTCGTTGGCACCGAGTCCGTTGCTTGCCTCGCGATCTTGCCTCTCGTTCGAGCTGGAATTATCGATTGCACGTAACCGAAACGTTATTCAAGAACGCAGAGATTCCATGAGAATGCATTTCGTGCACCTCTGTTACTACGTAAGTCACGAATCCTTACAATTTACTGACTTATCTCGGGCTCATTCCCGTAAACCTTGACCTACCATGCGCGATCAGTCGGTTGCTCGTGTCGCAAATCCGCGCGAGTATTGATTGCACCGCACGATGCTGCGAAATTCTACAAAACTGGACCAACAAGCCGGAACGTAAACACCGTAAATTTCGCAGCCGAAGCGCAGGTATCCGCTACCAGTTTCGACACCACACTGGTCCCGCAGGATGGTCCGCTGCGAAGACCAGCGATCTGCGAAGCAGCTTGCGCGTATCACGCAATTAGTCACCGTTTACACTGCGAATCCGATGGGGAATAATGAATTCTCGAAATTGCTTAGTATGCCTGAATATTCCGACAAACGCTAATCTTTTATTTATCAGTCCTTGCAGCCGACAAGGAAACCGAGCACGCTCTCTCTCTCTCTCTCTCGCTCCCTATTCTTGCACGAACTTATTCTTCTCAGTCTCTAATCATTTTACCAACTTCCCGATCGCGTTAATCAGTCGTTTGGTTATCGATCCGCGATATAAAAGTTCAGCGAGTCGTCTGCCGTTGTTGAATCATCCGCGATGACTCGCTGGAATTCGCACCTATCGAGAGTCGTGGCTCGAAATCGTGAGACAGTCCAACTGCGATATAGATATCACTCGAATATCGACCTTGGAAAAATTCCCTTTAATTCGCAGCTTTTAATGCCCGAGATATCGATAATTGTAGTCTCTAGGCGCCGCCGTTTATCGGACCCAAGGTGCTGTCATGGTCACGCTAACGTTTGCTTTTCGCAGGTGTCTGCACCACCACGGACGTGGATACGTTGCTCTATCACATGAACAACGCGAGGTATCTGCGCGAGCTGGACTTTGCCAGGGCGGATTTCTATGAAAGGACGAGCCTCTATCGCGAGATCTGCGCGCAAGGATCAGGCGTGGTGCAAGGAGCGTCCACCATTCGTTATCGTCGTTTCCTCAAGCCTTTGTCCATCTTCAAAATAACCTCTAAGGTACGATCACGCGAAATCATATCGGAGTATTGCACGCCAGGCGCGCTATGATCCGCGCGAGAATCCTTAGAAACATTTTACGATCCCCTCTGCAAACAGACCACGGCCGATTATCAAACATTTGTTCCCGATAACTTCTAGGAAAGGCGATAAAGCCGCGAAGGAAACGGGAAGAACTCGTTTGTTCTTATCTCGCAAATCCTTCGCGAGTATTTCGCCCGAAATAGAATTCCGGGTATTCGCGATTGTAGTTTTGTATGCACTGTCCGACATTCGTGACGCGTCGTATCGAAAAGGTACTCCACACTTTTCTCGTTATTAATTTTATCACCGGTGCGAGTTGATTGCGGGATAAAAACGCGGGTTTCTCGCGACGAAGATACGAGTTAATGGGAAATAGAAGTTACGTAAGAATTTTCATGGAAATCGTACCTGTTCCACGATCCGATGTTTCTGTGGAATGTGTCCTTGCAGATTATATATTGGGACGAGAAGTCCGTGTTCATGGAGCATCGGTTCATCACTCCCAGCGACGGATTCGTCAGGGCCATCGCGATTTGCAGACAAAAGCTTCTGAACTGCAGCGCCGAGGCCGTGATCGGTTCCCTGATGGAACGTGGCGTGAAGCAGAATGGTAACGCCGATCCGGGTGTAACTCAGGTGAGGATCCCAACTTAACGTCCCTGAAAGGACAATCGGAATGAGTGGCGAGGAAAGTTCTAATCGGAGTACGCGTTTCAGATACCTCACGTCCGGCCGCAGATGCCACCGGAAGTCGCTAGGTGGTTGGAGAGCAACGAAATCTCTTCGGCGCTGCTTCGTCAGGCCCCGACAGTGACTACGCATTGCTGACAAAAGGAGGATACGGCGTCCACCTCAAATGGCGCCGTCTCCACTTCCGTCTACGCGACCACGACCGTCTAATGTCAAAGATCAGATCGATCTCGATCGTGGTTAGCCGCGAATCAGTTAAACGAATCTTCCCGTAGTCGTTTCTTGCTCGAACGACGCACGAGAAGGTAGCTTGGAATCAATTTTTCTAAAGCGAAGAAATTTACCGAGAAATTTTCCGAGCTTCGTTCAGTTTGCGAAGCTTTCGTCGATCGCGAGCCGGTTCAGCCTAGGATCGTGGTGAACGATCGGGCAGCAGCTGGAAGGTCGATGCTCGTCCGCCTGAAAATTGGTTCAATGTTATTCCCAGCGTGGTACAGACGCGTGAACGTGTATGTATGTGTGCAGAATGTCGGAAGAAAAACTATCCTCGGACCGATGAGTGACAAAAATCTAGAGTACAAAGGCCAAACAGAGACGCGGATTTATTTTACTAGGTGAGAGTATGCGCGCGACTATCGGGCAAGGCGTGTTAGCTCGCTGCGTAGGAAGAATTTGAAATTAATCGAAATTCCAATGGATTTCGGGGGACTTTCGAAACATTATACGGGAAACTTGTCGAGCGACCGTGGAACGGTTCGCTGGCAGGTTTCCGACGAAGGTTACAGATTCGAGACCGGCTGATCTACTCCAAAGGAGCTTCCAAGAATTAAAGAGCACCGTTTGTTAAATATTCTTCGTTGAAAGTAATCGCGATACGCGAGGCGTTATTTACATTTTTTATTATATATATATGTATATATATATTTATATTATATACATAAATATATATATATATAAAGCCGCGAGTGGCGTCGGTAATGGTCTTCACGACGAGAGCAAAGTAGAATTCTCCCGAGGAGTTGCTTTGTCGCGAGGTGATAGGAATGCAACAACAATCTATTTACAAGCGCGTTGAGAGGCGAGTGTTTATACTTTTATAAAGTGTTACTGGTGCCTTCGCATAAATCGTGGATATTCGCTTTTCTGCGTTTATCGTGCACTCAGACCGTGACATTTGTAATTCGATGGTTGCCACGTGACAGCCCGTTGCGATTTGAATTTTCGTTTATTGTTAACGTCCTTATGTTATTAAGTGTAGAACGTCCGGTAATCGCGACTCGATTGTACGTGGCTCGCATGTGATCAATTTTTTTAAATCGTATACAATCCTTGTTACCGACGCCATTTGCATCGATCAATCCGTAAAGTGTATTCCACTCGAATTTCGAAGTAAATTGGTATTCGTAGTTTGGTCATTAAGTAGCCGTCGACGTAGCGCGTCCCGAACAGCTAAATAGCATTGTGCACGTCCGTACGCGAAGACGTTATTATACTTCTAGATGATAATAATGCCATTTTTGTCAGATAATACTGTGTTGATCATGTCGTTGAAAATACCATTACCCAGGAGTACGAATAAAATATTCCTTAGATGGCTAATGCTTTTTCCGTTCAAAGACGCACACTTTTCTTCTGCTTCATCTTCGACTTTCGGTTCGATCGAGGCTCCTATATCGACGCGTTGCTCGCCGATTATGCGAGTAGCCCGAGAAACGGAAGTTATATCGGACAGAACGTTCGGACGTTATAATTTTCGACAGAGGTCGTGCGACGCGTGCGTAACGCGCTGAATATTTTGCAAAAGGTTCACGACTCCGCGCTACGTTCATTTCCATTCCCAGGGTAAGCTTCTTAGGGCATGCATATATTCATGAACCTTTCTTCCCGAGCAATTATACAATCGTGCGATGTAACAAACTATACGTTATATTTTTCGATACCTCGTCTATTCGCTTTTCGGATGGATAACGATAACATCAACAACAAGGATAATAACAACGTTCATGCAACATCACGCTGACTGGTGTTGCCGATTAATTCTCGCATTTTAACTCCTTACCCTCGTTAGCTCAGCTTGTGTATAGATTTTATAACAATTGTTGATATACATATATATATATATTCGTTTGAATCGTGTCAATCGTTAATTCACTGACTCACCTGTTATCTCGTCACGAGTGCCGAACGATCTATCGAAATTCTCGCGATCCAAGCACCTGTCGATCCATCGCGATCAAAAGCTTCGCCGATAAGGATAGTCACGTGTCCCGAAATTAATGTCCAGCGTCAGCTATCGTTCTTTGACCGCGTGAAACGCTACTGCACACACGTCGACCGAGCACCGTTCCGTTTGCAACGGAACGTCGTAGAACGAGAAACCGGTTACAGCACCGTGTGCACTGTAAGAAGCGACCTCGTAGTTTGGAATTTCACGGTAACCGCACGCAGTCTTCCTCAGACGGTGGCTTCGTGAACGTCAAGCGCCGTTCTTCTTTCTCCTGTCTTCCGGAACCGTTATAGAAAAATGGTGTGCGCCTGCCTCATCACGATCCTCCTAGTTCTCTATATGCTCTTCGACGTGAATTACTTCCTCAGGATCATATTCACGTTAGCCATAGGCAGGCTACACAAGAAGAACAAGATCTTCGACGTCACTACTATCTATGGTAATTTGTCTACAATTTTCTCCAATTTTCTACTCTCCTTTTTCCCATTCGCGTCTTTCAGCAGCTCGTAATTTTGTATCTTTATTATTATATATTTTTATTTTTATCGTTTCGCATTTCGCGTTTAAAAATATCCCACGATAAAGTTCGGTGTTTTTCGTAATTTATCGGTAATCCGTTTCGACCTCGATATCGATCACGTTCGATCGCCGTGAGGTCGATTGCGCAATCGTAGCTGTTTCGCGCGGAATGTCGACGATAATTCGATAATTCGCTGCTTTTCGCGATGAAAAATCGCGAGTCGCGAAATTCGGTGAACAAAGCGCGCGACGAGTTTCGCGCCACGTCTGGGTCACGTGATCCGGACACGAGATGCATCCGAGATCACGACATTGACGTCAACGATGGATCTTCGCTAAAGGAACGCGTAAAGCGGAAGAACCTTCGCGTTTCGGAGGAATCCGAAGCCGAGCATGTTTTAAATTCGCGTGTCGTGGCTGAACGAGATGAATTCGCAGCCAAATATTCAAAGACTCGTTCCTTGAATAAAGATATCGAACAAGTCGGATTAAGGAACAACGCTGTCTCGACAGAACGGTGGTAATTAAAGATATTGATTACGTCGAGTCGTGATATCATTTAGCGTCCGCCTAACGCTCAAATCGGATAATATGAATAGCATAACATGAATAATTGGTAGAGGAAAGGAAAAATTAAATTTCCATGAAAAATTTATGCAATTTGAATATAATGAGCGATAAATGAATGTCGATGTTTCCATTTCTTTCACGGATTTGCATCACCGTGTTTAATTTGCAGTCGAACCATGCGGAGGTCTAACGAAAAGATAATCATAGTTATATATGCAATGCAAGTTTGCATATTCAATTGAATATATTGTTAAAGACTAAACGGACGTACTCGTTGTTCCTCCATTTCCGTTGTCGTTATCTTTCTCTTTTAGGTCCTCGAAACAACGCGCGCGTAACACCGGCATCTCTTTCATTTTTCTTGACAAGAAATGCGACACACGTAGTGGAAGACTGTAGAAATAAACCCTGCTAATTTCGAAGCAGGGGATCTTAGTGATTTTTACACGAATTTTTTCAAAATATTCAAATACCGGACCCCGATGACAGAGCGTGGTAGGGGAGGCAGAACTGAATTTTTCTTGCTTCTCGTAGGCATATGCACGACGCAGGATGTGGATCTGTTTCTGAAACACATGAACAATGCGAGGTACCTTCGCGAATTAGACTTCGCACGCTTTCATTATTACGATCGTTCAGGAATTTACGCTGCCATTGCAAAGAGAGGCGGCGGCGCGGTACAAGGGGCATCATCGACGAGGTACCGTCGTGCCATTCCCCTATTGACACCGTACAAGGTGACCACAAAGGTGAGATGAATATTCCGACACGCGATCGATCGATCGAGCATTGATTATCGTCTTAATTACCAATTATTAACCACTTGCGCTGGCAAGAAGTTCACAGACGCGTGTGCCAGAACGGTCCAGTGTTTCTGTAAAAATTTCCTAACGACGTGTATACCACGTCGTTGGCGATTCTGTAGCAAAAGCGTTAGGACGTGTGTGACACGTCTTTCGAGCGCAAGTGGTTAATAACTTATCGATTCTTATCACGAACTTGATTCATTCCCACAGCTGATTTACTGGGAGGACAAGAACTTCTATCTGGAGCACGAATTCGTCAGTTTGACTGACAACTTTGTCCGCGCGGTGGTTCTCAGTAGACAAACCACCACTGGTTTGAAGATTCCAGTGTCGGAAGTAATCGCTGAACTGGAGCCAAACGCGCAACGACCCGAGATGACCAAGGACCTCGAACTGTGGCTGAAGTCCATGGAGGAGTCCTCCAAGAGATACAAGAAGGAGAACTGAGGATAATCTCTGTCCAATGCGTTATACTATCGTACAACTTTTTCCTCGTTATGTACCATTAAAGTGTTACGAATACTTACACGAACAGTATACCCTCTCTCGATTTGCATAATTACACGTTAATCGGTTGCCTGACGTCAAATAGTCTGGCAAGTTTTTCGGAGTAATGATTACATACGCGTTTCTTCTCGTCTTTTTTCCCTTAGGATAAAATAAGATCAATGTAGCTCGTAACTATACGTATAAATTGCTGGAACGATTGGAACGGTGATCGGAGTTATCTGGCGAGCCGAAAGGCAATAAAAAGGCGAGTTGTTCTCACGGCGGGTCGTAATGGCGGCGGGCCTCTTTCTATCCGGCATCTGTCACGGCGCGCGTCGCTAGATTGCCGCGGCTGCCGTCAGATGGCGACTTTCGTTTCGCGGCGGCCGATGGAGAACGGATGTGCGAGAGTTGTGCGCGTTCCTGGCGTGCAGTCGATCCGGGAACTCGAAACCTGTCGCGAACGCTAGCCGACCTTTGACTCCGCTTTCCATGAACTTTCGTGTATCATTCAGTGTCGAAGAGCCCGCGACAGCTCCTGTCAACCACGCAGCACCGGGCCGTACTCGCTTTCATCCCACCTGTAAGTCGAATCTTCGCCTTCCGGCCCTCGATACTTCCGTTCCTTCGAATTTCACGCGCAATCCGCCCCGCGCTCGCCCGCTCGGGCATTTATTGCATGAAAACGAGCGCACGAAAATTACGCGGGAATGGCCGCGGTCGGAAATGACAGTTCGCGACCCGCTTTCGAGTATCGTGACGCGCTATCGCCGCCGGTCTCGAACCAGTGTATCGTTTTCCGGAATTCCGCGCGGCAAGCATAAATTAGAAAAGACCAAGCAGCAACGAACGACGCGACGGTCGTAACGTGTTATTGCCCTGATCCACATTTTTATCCGCCGTTTGACGAGTTTCGTTCACCCGTTGCCACGACTCGGTTCGCAAATAATCGACGTCTTTGTGCGAAAGGCGCGTTTGCATTTGCCGTATCTTTTGCGAAAGGCATCACGCACGCGAATGGCATTACGCAATTGCGACAGGAAAATTCCTACGCCGATAGACTCGCCATTGTTCGCCGTTCTTTTGGTACAGTTTTCCATGGAAAATAGAATTCTCCGAGCTGAGAACGCAGGAGATCCTCGAACTCGCGAAATACGCGACCAGTGCGCGCCTCCAGTCCTCGTTCCGCGCGGAGAATTAGCAGCCTGCCAAGGTTCCGAGCAATTTCGTCACGAGGTCTTCGTTAGATAAGAAACGCTTGTGAACCCACGATGGGAAGAATTAATTCGTTGCTCGACACTGCCATCTCTGGTGACTTAATCCTGCAAATCGAGCGTGCACACATAGTCATAATGAGGATCGTTCTCAAGGCGTATCTCAGTAGCGACGTTTTCGCTAGGGTCTTCGCGAAAGGGTCACGCATTTCGTGCGTGGACCCGGTTGCGTAATTTAGTCGAGATGATGCCTTGCATAATAATGATTACGAATCTCATAACAGTGCTAATGCGAGTTGTTCAATGACACTCGTTGCAACCTCGTTCCCCATGCTTCTCCCGCGACCGTATGAGAAACAATCTCCTCCGACCGAGTCGCGCACTGACACTGCCCCATTACTGTCAAATTGCGCATCTGATACTCGTTGAACGCAGTTTCACTTTGTTTTCGTCCTAATCGCTCGATAACTTCGAGATCGTTCGAGCTACCTACAGTGTGACACTTTTTAGTTCACCGGTTCAGGAATTTGCGAATTCATCGTCTTGCTGTAAAGATCGTTTATGGAATCTCTATTGACACCAATTTCGTCCAGGAATATATACTACGTATTTTAAGGCAGCTTCGAAAATTTTGCTGGAAAATTAGGTCGACAGACAAACATTCGCGGAGTGTTCAGAAACGTTCCCAGAAAATTATGGGTCCTATTTTTGCAGTACTTTTGTAGTATTTTTGTAACGCGTGGAGTCAGAGATACGTTCAGGCACGTTTTCAACAAAGTTTAGGATTTACCAAGTTACTGGCATTAACTCTTTGCGCTCGTATGTCTGCTCTCAGGTACTACAGCGAGGAACCATACTAATTTTATACTATATTCATATCAAAATATCGGTTTATACTTTCTCTGAACGAACCTGAATATTTAGAGAATCTATTTACGAAGTAATACGGTGCTTCAATCAATTGGAGGTGACAAACCCAGTCAAAACAAAAGCTGTCATCACTCACTCGCCATGCAAAATGCTGTACGAGTCAGTGGCCTCTTGAGCGTAAAATAATCGACAAGATTCGAAGACACTTTGTGGCATTCCAAATAATATTTTACAAATTGCGTTTAACCCATTTGCATCCAAGCGCGGAATATTCCGCGAGCCGCGACTGTCTACTATCACCAAGCGCGGAATATTCCGCGAACAGCGACGGTCTACTATCACCAAGCGCGGAATATTCCGCGATCCCGTGACTCTTCTATAAGTTCTTACTTTAATTTAAATAATTATATTCTGTTTATAAAATAATATTTGTTTCTTTCATTTTTCATAGAAAAATGTGAAATGCGATGTTTGGATTGTAACATTGTGTATCAATCGTTTTACACAGTACAGTTTTAATAAACTCCGCGAACAATTTGGATGTCGTTTACTGCACATAAGACCGATCACGCGCGGTGATACGAGCCAGTCGTCAGTTGAACGTCGCTGATGTTTCAGCGCGGCAGCTTAAGTAGAGTCACGATGCAAATGGGTTAACTGTAAGTTTCCAGAAATGTGCGCATACGTGAGCGAGACTTTTTGTAGCCGAGTGTGAGTGTGAGGAAGGTTCTCGAAAAATTGTAGACCGTACGATTTGCGAATGAAAATCATTAGATGGACCCCAATCGACAGCCTACCTAGGGGCACACGCGCGTTAGGGTTGTTAGCCACACGTTCGGAAGCCATCGTTTTCAATGATCCCCGATTAGAGCAGGTTTCTAGATCAAGGACCGTAATCCTCTCCGCAGTCGGGGATTAGAAACGTTAATTAAATGTCGCAGCGGGTCGTTTCGATAATCCACGCGATGTAATCGCCGCATCGAGGAGATCGATCGTGCGAACCGGCTGAACGTCGATTTCTCTTCCCATGTTCCTCTTTCCGGAACACAATCGTCGGCGGATATTTTTCTCTTATCGTTCGCTTTCTTCCACGCTCGTGGGAAATTTCTCCCCGGTGTAAATCGAGCTTTCCACTCGTCGATATCGGCAGACAATGGGAAATTCCGCGACAGATCTCGATCGATCCGCGGCATTCCCGAACACCGCGTGGTGCCCCGCAAGTGACTGCGGGTATGCAAATTCGCGACAAATCGGATCGCGGTCTCTCCGCGGGAACTCGCGACTTCCCGCTTTCCACGGGGATAAAGAAAAGTTGTAATCCCCGGTCGGGAAAGGCAATCACGTCGCGAAGGATTAAGGGACGTGGAACGACAATGGCGCCCATACACGCGGCACTTTGTTCGATCCTGCAACGCGTGGGAGGACGAGCGTGTACACGGCCGCATATCGTCTCGCGATTAACGAGCACATTGTGATAAATTAGGAATTATGACGCTGGTCCCTCGGCCTATCCTTTAGCATCTCGTAATTGATGCGCCGCATTTTTCTCTAACGATCCCCGTCTCATCGTCTCTGATCCGATCGCTCCGTTGCGTTCATTGTCGTCACAGGGATAGCGCATGCGCAAGTGTCGCGGAGATTTGTTGAAATGCATGACTCAATGATTCGACTGGAATTACCGAGGGTGTTAGATATTCATCTAAATATCCACGTAACGAGGTAACAGGGACGAAAAGGTGCGGTATTCAGGGTTCGACCCGAATAACGAGAATTCTTGCGGTTCGACCGCGGAAAAACGTGCAACGGCTGTTCCGATCGAGATCGACTCTAGCCTCGTTGCACGAATTGCACGCGAGGGGAGTGATAGGGCCGATGTGTTCCTTAATAGGGCAATAGAGGTACGCGAGCTCCCGAAAATATCGGGTTCTGATGGGATAAAATTTTTTCCAATATTTGAGACGGAATTCTGTACACTTTCCAGATCCTAAATACTTTCGGAATCTCGGATATTTTTAAGATCGCAGTTATTTTCGAGATCCCGAACATTTTCAAAATCCCAGATATCATTAACACTAGATTTACGGAACACGTCAATTTGAAGGGTTGCTCCAATTATACGATGGTAACAGATTTAGTTAACTTATATTAAGACTGTAAACCCTTTGTACTCGGGGACCTTCTCGTTATTTTTGTGGATCTTATAATTTGAGGATTTCCTGCTGTAAAACGATATTTTGAAAACGGTAAATTAAATGTCATATGCAAATTAAGATGTAGAATTACTTTACTCCTACATTCCAGGTATCATTGCATTATCCAAATTTGATATATCAGTTAACATCGTTCTTCAGAATTTGATTAAATGGTGACTGAGGGTCGCCTCTCGAGTGCAAAGGGTTAATATAATATATAATTGTTCTTAAATTAAACTAATCGTTAAAGAAAAAGGCACGTGGTTTCCTTTACCTGTCAATTTTACAGGTGTCCTTAGAAATAGGTATACAGATAGCGTCCATAAACCTAGTGTTAAGATTCCAGATATTCTTGGGATCAAATGTACTCTCCTATAGAGTTCTCTGACCCACGTTCTCTCGTTTCGTCTGAAAAATCGGGATCCCGATAATTTCTTGGATCTCGGGAAATTTTGTGATCCCATTCCATCCCTTCTTCTTCCATTTTGTTTCGGATATCAGGATTCCGAACATTTGTGACTACTCGTCCCGTCTCATCCCGCGTTCCCTCGATCCACGTTCTCCTGTTTCATCTGAAAAATCGGGATCCCGATAATTTCTTGGATCTCGGGCAATTTTGAGATCCTATTTTATCCTCTCTTCTTCCGTCTCGTTTCGGATATCAGGATTCCGAACATTTGTGACAACTCGTCCCGTCTCATCTCGCGTTCCCTCGATCCACGTTCTCCTATTTCTTCTGAAAAATCGGAATCCCCATAATTTCTTGGATCTCGGGCAATTTTGAGATCCTATTTTGTCCTCTCTTCTTTCGTCTCGTTTCGGATATCAGGATTCCGAACATTTTTGACAACTCGTCCTGTTTCATCCCGCGTTCCCTCGACCCTGTTTCGTCTGAAAAATCGGGATCCCGATAATTTTTTGGATCTCGGGCAATTTTGAGATCCCATTCCGTCCTCTCTTCTTTCGTTTTGTTTCGGATATCAGGATCCTGGACATTTTTTGACAACCCATTTCGTCCCATCCCGCGTTCCCTCGACCCCTGTACTCCCGTTTCGTCTGAAAAATCGGGATCCCGATAATTTTTTGGATCTCGGGCAATTTTGAGATCCCATTCCATCCCCTCTTCTTCCATTTTGTTTCGGATATCAGGATCCCGGACATTTTTGACAACTCGTTTCGTCCCATCTCGCGTTCTCTCGACCCCTGTACTCCCGTTTCGTCTAAAAAATCGGGATCCCAATAATTTCTTGGATCTCGGGCAATTTTGAGATCCCATTCCGTCCTCTCTTCTTCCGTCTCGTTTCGGATATCAGGATCCCGGACATTTTTGACAACCCATTTCGTCCCATCCCGCGTTCCCTCGACCCCTGTACTCCCGTTTCATCTGAAAAATCGGGATCCCGATAATTTCTTGGATCTCGGGCAATTTTGAGATCCCATTCCGTCCTCTCTTCTTTCGTTTTGTTTCGGATATCAGGATCCTGGACATTTTTTGACAACCCATTTCGTCCCATCCCGCGTTCCCTCGACCCCTGTACTCCCGTCACGTGTGCCCCAGTCCCGAGTACTCGCGACCCTTCTCAAACGTCGGGATCCCGATCTTTCCGAGATCTCTCACACCGGCGTAGATCTCATAGATCGGCGTACTGGAAACGCGACGCTGCGCGTCTCGTCGCTCCTTTCCTCGGTTACGTCACGTGGGAAGTGAGCCGCGTAGGACGCGCTAATGCTTGGCCGTCGTGGATGGCACGTATCATACAAAGCGAGAAAGAGCGGCGCTCGAGGTTAAAAGGGAAAGAGAAAAAAAAGAATCGTGCCGCGTTAACTCTTACGCTTAAGCACCGTCCACACCGCTGCGTCGACGGGGCGTCGAGCGGGCAGGGGACATAGATGATCGCAAATTGTCCGCAATTGGCAGGAAGTCGTGGCAAGGGGGACCGTTCCTACGCCCCCTCGCACTCTCTTCGTTGTTCATTAGCCGCGGCGTTTCCGGTTCCATTTCGCTCGCACGAATTGATTTCAAGTACGAGATTAACCACGCTCTCCGAGAATCCTCCTCGAATCTCCATCGGAACGCGTTCATCTTCGTTTAACACCTCCCCCTGTTTACCTCGGACGCGATTTTTACGACCTCGAGGAACCGAGTCTTCCTCTGCCTCCCAGGTCGTAAACTTTCCTCTGTCGAGGACGCGCTGAACCGGTGACAGCCATCGATTCTGCCAATTGAATACTCGTTACACCACGGATTTAGGTACCCGGTGCCTCACGTGCTGAGAGACGCGAGTTTCGTTCAGGTTAGACCAGCGATTCTCAACGGGAGACCATCTCCAAGTATTCGCAATTCGAACTACTCACAATCGATTACAAATTAAAAATTTTTTGAAATTCTTTGCCCCAGGACACTTAATCGATGCTTCATTGTTTACGTTCAAAATAAATTTCTATTTCTTATTTCACGAAATTAAATACACCCAGCAGGTTGAGATACGATACAAACATCTTCGTGTGTCTTTTACAAATTCAACCCTTTGCACTCGACGATTTTTTGGCCAAAGAAGGCTAGGAGTTCAAAGATTTTCCGTTGCGGAGCTGACGATATTTTTCTGAGCAGTAATAAGAAATCGTGTGATAATTAACACGTAGAATTTTTCGATTTCGATACCTCGCACACCGTTGCATTACCCGAAATTTCACGTATTTACGAATATCGAGCTTCGAAATTTGATGAAATGGCGACTGAATGGCGCCTCTCGAGCGCAAAGGGTTAAATTCTTGCGGATCGGAGAACGGAGTTGAAAATGGCGACACGAGGCAAAGATACGACACGTTGAGAAACTCTGAGTTAGACGTATTTATCGCTGCGAGCATGTTCTCGACTCCAGTTTGTTTAACGAGCACCATTTGCAACAAGTGGTACTCGCAACATCGCGTTCGTGCCAGGCGATAAGGCGAATCAATATTATCCCATCCCGATAACGACATTCGAGTCGAGGAGCAACGGAGACCCCCCCGTTGGGAATTGCGAGCACAGAGTGGCAGGCTTCCAAGGAGAAACGAATCGCGGAGGCACGGCAGGAGCTGCGTGATGCATGCCGCCGGTGACAAGAAGACAAATCGAATCGGGGATCGTAAATTTCGTCCTCGCGGTGGGCATAAATCACGCGTTTCTTCTGCTACCTGCGCGAAGCACCTGGTAAACAATGCGTCACGATTCTGCACGCGCGAGAATCCCATTTCGCGGCGAGTGCCGGCGAACAGAGGGAATTTCACGTGACAGTGGAGGCGCGAGATAAGCCGTGTCACGGGCGGCCATTTTTTCCGCGACGCCTCGCGACAGGCGTCTCACCTGCGCGAGGAGACACGGTCCTCAGTCGAACGCCTTCAGGTGAGAAATTCGCGTCGCGACGTTTCGACTCGCAGCGTGGCTAAAGGCGACATTCCCTCTGTCGGATTAGAGAGTTGGATAAATAATCATCGCGCGGACGCGCGCGTCGCGATCGCAGGAAAACGGCAGGTGAAACCGCGGTGGAGCAGCGAAATCGGTCACGCTAATTACCGGGCTAGCTGCTACCTGGAGTTGCTGCTCTCGCGATTAATTAGAACGACGCGTCGAGAGGAAAATCGCGGACTGGATCTTTTATTCAGCTGCTCGACGCGCGCCACTGGATCCATTATTTACGCGCGTGCGATGCGCCATGTTTAATGCATGGACAAAATCCGTCGAACGCGCAAACACTGCTTCCCGAGATCCCGATTCCCGATATCGGCCCCCGTGGAATCTTTCGTATTGCTTTTGCAATTCCGACGACGCCGATGCGCTCACTTTTCCGATGTCATCCGCGGAATCAAAATCGAAACCGATTTCTATTCCGGGTAAAGCGTAACGAATAAATTCCGAGGACGTGAAACGACCATAGAAGTTCCAAAGGTTTGTAAATTGTGTGCCTAATTTTTCCAAAATCGAATGCAGCGTGTCTTTTAAAATTATGGTTAGTACCGAGGTCCAAACCGATTTCTATCCCGAGTAAAGCATAACGAATAAATTCCAACGACGCTTGGCAATCATAGATACTCTGAAAGTTAGTTAATTTAATAATTTTTCCGATATTGAATTTAGTATATTTCTCAAAATTACGGTTTATACCGAGATCCAAACCGATTTCTTATTCGGGTAAACCATAACGAATAAATTCCAACGACGCTTGGCAATCATAGATACTCTGAAAGTTAGTTAATTTAATAATTTTTCCGATATTGAATTTAGTATATTTCTCAAAATTACGGTTTATACCGAGATCCAAACCGATTTCTTATTCGGGTAAACCATAACGAATAAATTCCAATGACGCTTAACGATCATAGAAGTTTCAAAGGTTTGTTAATTACGTGTCTAATTTTTCCAAAATCGAATGTAGCGTGTCTCTTAAAATTACGGTTAGTATCGAGATCCAAACCGATTTCTATCCCGAGTAAAGCATAACGAATAAATTCCAACGACGCTTGGCAACCATAGATACTCTGAAAGTTAGTTAATTTAATAATTTCCGATTTAATAATTTTTGCGATATTGAATTTAGTATATTTCTCAAAATTGCGGTTAATACCGAGATCCAAACCGATTTCTATCCCGAGTAAAGCATAACGAATAAATTCCAACGACGCTTGGCAACCATAGATACTCTGAAAGTTAGTTAATTTAATAATTTCCGATTTAATAATTTTTGCGATATTGAATTTAGTATATTTCTCAAAATTGCGGTTAATACCGAGATCCAAACCGATTTCTTATTCGGGTAAACCATAACAAATAAATTCCAATGACGCCTAACGACCATAGAAGTTCCAAAGATTTGTTAATTACGTGCCTAATTTTTCCAAAATCGAATGTAGCGTGTCTCTTAAAATTACGATTAGTACCGAGATCCAAACCAACTTCTTATTCGTGTGATTCATAACAAATAAATTCCAACGACGTTTAACGACCATAGATACTCTAAAAGTTAGTTAATTTAATAATTATCGATTTAATAATTTTTCCGATATTGAATTTAGTATATTTGTCAAAATTACGGTTAACGCCGAGATCCAAACTGATTTCTATTACTGACTGTTGTGAATATTATTATTATTATTTTATTCATAAACGGACCGTAGTCCATTTAAAGAAAATTTCAGATATAAAAGAAAAGGAAACAAATTATACGTAATATAACACCGAATGGACGTGCTTATAAACGCTTTGTTAAGGAGGAATAGCTTTAATCGATAATCCGTAATTGTCTTTTGAAAGTTTGTAAAGACCCATAAAAATAATCTATAGGTTTACAAAGAGTGTTTGAGTTATAAAATGATAAATTGGATTAATTAATCCATATGTTGATCCGGACACAGGTATATGAAAACCTACTTTAGATCTCAATACACGTTCTGGCACATAGAAATTAATTTGCGTAAGAAAAAAGGAGTAATCAGTGTGATTATTAATTAAATTAAAGATAAAATTATGGTCAGCTATTTTTCTTCGAATATCGAATGACATTGATTTATTAATTACATATATACGTAATTTTTGTGCCGCCATTATCGGGACCGAAATCAAAACCGATTTCTATTTCAGGTAAATTATGATATATAAATTCCGATGATTTTTGACAACGATAAAAGCCCGATATAAACGGTTATTAGTCACATATTTAATTTTTGTGACTTCGAATATAGTGCCTCTTTTGACACTAACTCGTTAAGACCGAAGTCGAAACCGATTTCTACTAAAGGTAAACGCTAACGACTAAATTCTAACGACGCTTAATGATTACCGATCGAAAGTCGAACTAAACGATTATTAGTCACATATCTAATTTTTATGACTTCGTAAATAGTATCTCTTTCGACATCACCGTTAAAACCGAAATCTAAACCGATTCGTGCTTCATATAAACGATAACGATTAAATTTTAACGAACGTTTAATGAAAGACAGTAAAATGTCGAATTCAATGTTTATTAACTCATTAATTGCCAAATTTCTTTTTTCGAAATTTTTGGCCGGATAAATTATATATATGCACAAAAGGTTGTGTAACAGTATAATTATATTCAAATTATGTTTTGTTTTGTAAATATTTGACATTTTTGATAAAGTCCCAAAATGGGTGTCGTTGTAAAATGATTAACAAAATCATTTCAATAAAAAACAAAAGACTGAATAAGTAACAAATCGTTACTATAGCCTCTAAATTACATATTTATATACAGTATTTCATTATAGTAAATAAAATGATTAACAAAATCATTTCAATAAAAAACAAAAGACTGAGTAAGTAACAAATCGTTACTATAGCCTCTAAATTACATATTTATATACAGTATTTCATTATAGTATAGAAACCAAACGAAAAATATAATGCTTCAAATATGACAGTTCTGTTCCGTTCAACTTAATCGCGAATATACAATTTGTTCGTTTGTTATATAGAAACGAAGCACAGAATACACACTTTTTGCTACGTACAACATGGGCAGATACATATGGAATAAAACTAAACTGTCAGGCGTACCAAATATATTTTTCGCGTCGAGTGGTGAACGTAAAATTCCAAAATGCCCAAATGGGGATCGTGGCAACTAATGGGTTAATTACACGAATACGCCATTTTTGTGACATCAGGCTTTCTCCCGAAATCGAGACCGATCTCTGTTTCATGTAAACGACGATGACCAAATTCTACCGATAACTAATTATAACTTCCTAAGCTATTTCCTAAATTTAGCTTCAACGATCCATGCGTTGACACTAAAGCTGTCACGGTCAAATAACCGGAGAATTAAAATAAAGGAACCTTAAAGAAATACGAAGACGATATAATATGATTGTACCAATGACAATCGAAGATCAAGTTAGATCGATATCTAATTCTTGCGATCAAATTCAGCGTCCTTTATCATCGAGGATAAAGAAAAATCGGTTACGAGGATCGAGAGGAAAACGGGCTGGCAGATTTGCGACGACCTTGGCATGGCGGTCGCCACTCAGCGTGCGACCATAGGAAAGTGACGTCTCCGTGCGCGAGCACACCTTTCCATAGGTGTTACCTCCACCACGAAGCGGACCCACGCGATCGTGATCGGGATCGCGTATAGGTGAGAGGCCTCGCTGTCGGCAGGGTGTCCCGTTAGGGGACCTAGAAGGCCCAGAAGGGGCCACAGCCAATCGTATCAACCTGGTTCCGAACACACCGGAACGGATCCTCGACCGATGAGGATCGCCTGCCAACCGGTCGGGCTGATCAGTCGACCGGTACGATTTACCAATCGCGTTTCTCGTGTCGCTGATTCAATACGAGACATTCGGGGCTAGACACTCAAGAGAGGTCGACGACAATGACAGCTCTGGCGCCGAAATTTCACTGTAAGTTCCTCTCTCTCTCTTCTCTCCTTCGAGCCCTCGAAAATCGGCCAGTTTCCAGACTTCCACGCGAATACGCAATCGTCGCGCGTGCTCGCGAGGCTTCCATCTTCGTCTCCCGCTTCTCCGCTTCCGCTCGTCTCAGTTTCGTCGCTGGTCGACGCGTTTCCCGGTAATCCGGAGCGACGCGCAGTCCGCGACCGGATCGTGTACCTGGTCGACCGATCTTCCCGCCGCTGTCAGAAACGACTCACCTGGTCACGATCGAGCGTGCTTTTCGACTCGCGGTCCCGATCGCTCGTGACTCACGCCAGAGTAAACAGCGAAAGTTCCCGGAGCGCAGTTAACGACCGGCAAATACGAATACTAACGACCCCAGGTAGGCTAGGTGCGCGTACGCCAATTAAGATTCGCCGCGCTAGGAGGCTCTCACGTGCTCGCTTTCGCGGTCTTTTCGCGATCGGAGCAGGTGCGATCGGCTTCGCGAAATTCCCCGAAAGGCTCACGGAGTCATCGCATTCCTCGTGTTTCCAGGAACCACTGCCAGGCCTATCGTTGACACCACCCTGCGAGGCTACCAGCCATGAGCCGCACGGGATACACGTGCATCAGGCACGTCTTCTGCACCCTCAACGTTCTCATCTGGGTACGTATAGATATAGTTCGTTATGGTATGCTTGTGAATTATTGCGTCGCGTGGGGACCCATTGATGTCGGGTTCACAGATATCGAAATCGATGCTTGTGGCTGTTGTGGAGTCTAGTAAATGTAGATGGGAACATTGTTGGTTCACTTTGAATTTTGAAAATTTCTTGAAATCTTTGATAAATCAAAGGACCGGTTGTAATTGCTTTTTCTCTTAGGTACATTCATTAGAAATAAAAATAGGAAATAGATAGAGTCTTATTAGTTCTACTTTAATATCCTCTGCGAATTGTACCTCGACTTGATCTTGACTGTAATTTATGTATCGCAGGAAGTAAGACTGACACAAAAATTTGCAAATCGTTACCTTGTTCCTCAACCTTCGTTAGTTTGTTTGTAAGTTATTTGTAACGAAAGCAGGAAAGGTGTGCAATTCTGTAACGCGTTAACGGTTTCAATTTTATGCAAAGCTTCCCTTATCTTTTAACTCCATGCAGAGTGTTTGTGAGCAATACTTCAAATTGTTGTTAAAAATTAATGATAAAAGAATCGGAAATTGCAAAGTCCAAATCGATTTTTGTAAAATAATTCAGTCTTTCCAGGATTAATGGTTGTATTTTTCAACCGATTGGTTGTCGATCTTCCCTCGTTGGTTCGAATCTGAAAGAACAACCGTTACCTTCGGTCTCGGGCCATAACGTTTCGTCGTGCGCCATTAACGCGACACACGCGATTACCGCGAATGCAAAAATACCGTTGACAGTCTCTTCTCGATCGACAATTCATTGCGACTTCGCGGAACTATAATTACCTCGCGCACCATCCGATCGCGTCTGTTTCATCATCGTGCATGAAAGCCGCGCTCTCGGTTAAAAATAAATATTGTTCGCGATTCCGCTGACGCGGTGGCACGCGAATCGAAAACACGCGGCCGAACGTGTCCCGTAAGCGTGTCACGTTCGCGAACCGAGAAACACGATCGACCGTACTTAATTTCCATCGGCGGCCGTGCCGATGCTGCGCGCCGCAAGGGCGGCAGAGTCGAAGAGGGCAGCCGAGGAGGAATCGGCCCACGCATGCGATTAAATCGATGCGCATTGTCATTCCCGGTGCATTCCGACGCGCTCCGTCTCTCCTCTCCAATTTATCGTGCCACTTGAAACCGCCGGGCCCCGCGCCGCGGTCGCTCTTAAATAGGACGTTGAACCGTGCTCTATGAGCTATGAACTTACTTACGGTACCCGAGCACACGCTCGCGGCCGACCAGGCTTTTCCTCCTCTCAAACCCTCGACAGGTGCACGCCGTCGCTCCTTCGTCCCTGTCATCGGTCGCTTCGATTTACGGGCCGGTCGGACGCAGCCGCGCACGAGGCAAATAAATCTCACCTCGTCCAGGTCGCCGACAATAACGCGTCTTCGAAGAAATTTTCGCAATTCCGACGCGATATTCGCATCCCATCGCGAAGAGTTGCCCGCGAGGTTCTGTAACACGACCTGTAACACGACTTGTCCTTCTAACGAGGGCAAATCCATGCTAAGATGCCGCTGTATGGCTAAGAGGCGACTGTCAAGGGTCCGAGAAATTCGCAATTCCGACGCGATATTCGCATCCCGTCGCGGGGAGTTGCTCACGAGTTCTGCAGAATGACCTGTCACCATCGCGAGTGCAATTCTTCGCTGACACGCGGTCGGAAGGTTAATCGGCGGCTGTCCACGGTCCGTGAAATTCGCAATTCCGACACGATATTCGCGTCCAATCGCGAAGAGTTGCCCGCGGGGCTCTGTAACGCGACCTGACCTCCTCGCGAGAGCAATTCCACGCTGAAACGCAGCTGCATGGCTAAGAGGCGACTGTCAACGGTCCGTGAAATTTTCGCAATTCCGTCGCGATATTTGCATCCCGTCGCGGGGAATTGCCCACGAGTTCTGCAGAATGACCTGTCGCCATCGCGAGTGCAATTCTTCGCTGACACGCGGTCGGAAGGTTAATCGGCACCTGTCAACGGTCCGAGAAATTTTCGCAATTTCGACGCTATACTCGCGATTCCGACACGATATTCGCAATTCCGACGCGATATTCGCAATTCCGTCGCGATATTCGCATCCCGTCGCGGGGAGTTGCTCACGAGTTCTGCAGAATGACCTGTCGCCATCGCGAGTGAAATTCTTCGCTGACACGCGGTCGGAAGGTTAATCGGCGGCTGTCAACGGTCCGTGAAATTCGCAATTCCGACGCGATATTCGCAATTCCGTCGCGATATTCGCATCCCGTCGCGGGGAGTTGCTCACGAGTTCTGCAGAATGACCTGTCGCCATCGCGAGTGAAATTCTTCGCTGACACGCGGTCGGAAGGTTAATCGGCACCTGTCAACGGTCCGAGAAATTTTCGCAATTTCGACGCTATACTCGCGATTCCGACACGATATTCGCAATTCCGACGCGATATTCGCATCCCATCGCTGGGAGTTCTCTCTTAGATTCCGCAGGATGACCCGTCGCCATCCCGAGTGCAATTCCGCATTGACACGCGGCTGGAAGCTTCCTCGACGACTGTCAACGATCCGAGAAATTCGCAATTCCGACGCGATGTTCGCATTCCATCGCTTGGTGTTCTCTCTTAGAATGACCCGTCGCCGTCGTGAGTGCAATTCCGCATTGACACGCGGCTGGAAGCTTCCTTAACGACTGTCATCGATCCGAGAAACTCGCAATTCCGACGCGATATTCGCAATTCCGTCGCGATATTCGCAATTCCAACGCGATATTCGCATCCCGTCACCAGGAATTTCCCGCGAGGTGCTGCCGTCAACCTTCCTCGTCGAAATTGCGCGTGGAATTTCGCGGCGACACGCATCTGGAAGGCGGCTGTGGACGATCGCGGCCGTTTCATCCGGCAGAGATACTTAACGGTACCCGTTTCGCCGGCGACGTAAATCGAGCGCGGTTTAATCGTTCGATCGGCTGGACCGTTGGTCCATTCATTCCTCGCGGCCACGATCGTGGCCGCGATGCTGCCGGGATGTCGGGTCGACCGTCGATTCCGCCTCGATTCTGCCCGACGAAGCTTAATTTGCTTCGTTCTAACTAGTTTAACTGGATCGGATAACGCGGCCCGGCTCTTCGAACGCTCATGCTAATTACCACGTATCGTCGCGACCGTCGATATTCCCAACTTTCAGCTAAACCGATCCTGACCTAACCTCCTGTCGATCAGCGATGGGTGTCGGCTCGTCAGACGCCGGGTCGACGAGCTGCGCCTGTGTTTTCGACGCTTTTATTGTCAGTTGGGCGACGTGGAAAGTACTCGTGTGCGAAAATTGCCACCTGCTGGCACGTCGACCTCGTTCGTCCGCGATCGGATTATTAATTAATTCGCTGACCGGGGATGACGCGAAACGTGATCGAGAAGCGGCTCTCCGGCTCGCACGATGATTAACTATACGAAAACTAGGATAGACAATTAATTCAGAGATGTAAAGACGAGAATCGAGTACTCTGGTACTGGAATTTGAAAAGCCACAGAGCATATTTCGCTTGGTAAAATTTACTCGCGAGAACGGATATACACGTTGAAACGATTGTCCATTTTCTAGCCAAGTCATGTGCTTATGACTATCAGTCAGATGCTTACTATGTTGACTAAGTTGTTGGAAAGGAAATGATTTATGTCCGAGCCTCTGGACTCTGGAACTACTTCAAGTCTATCTTAAAGCCTAATGCACTGACACAAATGACGATGACGGAAACTACACGATAGACGTAAAGACGTGTACACTATCATGTTTCTATTTAAATAAAAGTCCACGTTATTTTTATCCAAATTAGATGCATATTTTGAATAATAACGATACTAAAATATCCACAGTTTCAACGTCGAATCGCACGAACAGTTACGATGCTAACCAACGGCATATGGGTCACGGACTGCCTACCGCAGGCAAAAAGTTAGTCGACCATAAGTACATTAGTTTAATTTTCACGCTCGTTTTCTCTCCTATCGAAGTTACGAAAATGAAAGAAATTGCAGTCTATCGTATCGATAAAATCGGTTTGCAGTTTCGGTCCGCTTTACGAAACATCGTTGGCAGCATGTGGCCCGCGAGCCGCGTGTTTGACACCGGTGGTCTAGACAGCGAATGATACAAAAAAGTAGAAGAATCCGATTCGTTCGGATCGGAAGCAGATGTAGAGATCCGAAACAGATGTAGAGACGGAGCAGTTGCGCGATCGTTTCGAACAATGGCAGCGGTCGTAATAGGTAGGTTTGTAGATGACGAGCTAAAATTGAAGCAGTTGGACAAAGGAACGGTAGAAATTGTAAATGACGGGTGGCATCTCTCGGTACAACGACGGCTTTAATCTCGGCCGTAGCCCGGGGACAGTACGGGGCCGGGAAATTACTAAACCGCAACAATCTCCGGGGAAAGGTCAATATCCCTTCTAATCTCGCTGTCACCGATACTCCGGCGTACCGGCCTTACCCAGAAACTCTGTTTCACCTGACCGAGACGATAATTTCCCCTTTGAAACGGCGACCACCTGGTCGGCGATCGGACAAGGAAGGAAGTACGAGTAAATCGAGCTGCCGCGTTTCAAGTGTTGCCCGCGATACACGTCCGTGTCTCGTGAGTGAAAAGAACGCGTCGACGGATCGTCTGGTCGCGTTAGAGTTTCATTAGCGTTGCGATACCAGCCGAGCGTGCTTTCTCGTGGCCGACCCACTTTTTACCATCCACGATTATGCACGGAAGACGAATAATCCGCGCCGGGATCCTCGCCAAGCGTGAAAATCACCGGCGACCACGTTTCGTCCGCCTCTGCATTATTCATCGATCCCCGATTTACAGACTACCAAATTATCCCCGACGACGAAAGCTCCGTCCGCGACGGTTGGAGGTCGAACGAGCACGCACGGCCATAAGTTCCGTTCGACCTCGCGATTCTCCGAGCTTTCGCAACAGCGCGCAGCGAAACTCGCGCGCGGAAACGCTCGCGATCGTGTTGCCTACGCGGCTCCAGCCACCGAATCGCCAAGGTGACACCGTCCTTCTGTCAATCGTCGCGGACCGGATGATTTATTCTCTCCGAGGTCTTCGTCTCGTTTGCCGCGTTTCCTACGCGTCTTCCGACCGGCCTCCTCTCGCCAGCCTCCGAATACCGTTTTACATATTTATGGAGAACAGTGAACGTGCATGATCGGCGCGCAGAAATGCGCCTCACGGTCGAGCGCATTCAGGCCAGTCTCTTCTGACCAGTGTAACGTTCTTTTTTTACAGTTATGCGCTTGCGGAATTTTGGGTGCAGGCCTCTGGCTGCGGTTGGTCTACTCCGGATACGCGACCTTGGTGCCGAACTACAGTTTCGCGTCAGCTGACTCGCTGCTGCTGGCTGCCGGATGTGTCACCTTCGTCATCGCCTTCTTCGGATGCTGCGGTGCCTGGTTCCAGTCCAGATGCATGCTGATCACGGTCAGTATCATTGTATTCGAGTTGCCTTCGTTCCCATCAGCTAACTTGTCTTCGTTCGCAGTACTTCGGTCTGGTGATACTGATGTTCCTGGGCGAGTTTATGCTAGGCACTCTGGCCTTCGTGTTCAGAGAGCATCTGGCGAAGAGTCTGAAAGACGAGCTGCTCTTCGGTATCGAGAAGCATTATAACATAACCTCCGAACCCGGAACCCTGCCCGCGATATGGGACAACATACAATCGGAGGTAAGAATAACATGGCCGAGAAGTTAGCGCGAAGAGGGCATCTCTCGAGTGAAATTTAAATTCTGACCTGGAAATTTTAACGACCACTCCTTGCCCCTTTTACGGTACCGATCTCGTTCCACTGTTTTCAGTTCCACTGTTGCGGCGTACGGGACTACACGGATTGGTTCCGAATCGACGCCTGGCCGACGGAGGACCGTGTGCCTTCTTCGTGTTGCGTGCAGAGGGTATGGCATTGCGGTCGCCTGGACCCCGAGGGAAAGAACAAGGAGCTCTGGTACAAGGAAGGCTGCGCGACCGCTATTCAAATGTGGTTGGTGACCAGGCTGCATGTGGTCGGGACCGTTGGTCTCGTTGTGGCTTTTCTTCAGCTGTTCGGACAGGTGGCCAGCATGATCCTGTTCTGCACCGTCAGGCACAAGAGGTCATCCCACACGTACAAGAGCTACGACACCACGAACACCTAGAATTTCAGATGGATCTTAGACGAGACCAGTGTCTAAGGTCCATCGAACCCTAACAACTATATATTACGCGACACGTCCGCGATGATCGCCATCTTCTTCGCGCTGTCTGAAGAGGATTTCGATTGTTGTGCGCGCTAACCCCTCGAGCGACATCTGGATTCCTGTAAACACCCTTCGACGATGTAATTCTAAGGCGAAAGATACCTTCCCTGTCGTAGAATTCGAGTAGGACCAGTGATCACTGCGAACCGTTCGGTTCGCGAAATTTCTGCTTACCCGCCAACAAGATGGCGGCGCGTGATAATTAACGAGGCGAATTCGAAGACACGTACGACCAGCTGTTAGTCCCATTCCTATTCTATTCAGCTGACTAGCTTTGCTAGCTTTCAACGAGATATCGTGGATTCGTAGAGGTAGCTACATACTCTGGGAAAAGATCTGGAAATTCATCATTGTCACCGAATTCGTTTCACGAGCGGCGATTATTAGAGCGCCAGCGTCTCAGAGAATTTTATAGGATGCGAACATTTATGTTATCTTGCATGCGAATGTGTTTATTTAATAGGGATAACTTTATCGCACACGAAGCATACCAAAATTGCGTCTCGTGCAACGAGGCTTCGCCCGACGATCTCCAGTCGATGTTTGGATCCTTCGTTCGACGAGTATGCCTGGTTGCACGAACGCGAGCACCACTATTTTTACTCGTTATCGTTTAAGATCGACGTCGACACGCCCGCGGAAATTCCTACCCTTCTTCTCTCGCTTAGCTTTAAATTTCCCGGGTGTGCCGATCGAACCGTTTTCATCGCATAACTCGATCGCGTAGATCATCGAGTAGTTGGTAATCTAGAATACGCGAGACGCATATTGTTTATTCGAGGATGCGCGATCTCGGGTTCGGCTGGATACGAGATCGCGAACGTCGATTAACTGCTTCGAGATGTTCGACGCGAACTTCGTTACGTTACATGTATATTGTTCGAATAATAAATAATATATTTACGCGACTCTCCGAATGCTCTTTGCCCAGCCTTGCTGACTGGGGACTTATTTAGAAACTCGCCGTGACGTGTCTGCGTCGTCTGAATCAGAGCTAAGTTCCTCGGGACTATCTTCTGAGTCACTGTCACGATTTTATTAATCCGTTAACTAACAGCGACGAGTCTGTGCCATTTTTCCCCTCACTGTGCTTTGTCATGTTTGTGACAAGTGCGTGTTACTTTATACCTTCTTTACTTTATTTGAAATCGACCGAATTGGAGTCCATGTAAGACGTTTTGGCTAACGAGTGCCACAGTTGACAGGTTTATCGTCGATCCGCCATTTTTGCGAAATTAACACGGTACCTGAAAGCTTGGAAGAAAGCTAACGTGACGAAAGATGAACGACAAACTTCGATTTCAAATAATATCGCAAATTCTCTTGCTGAAATAGTACTGTCACTGTACCTGTCTTCGGTCAATGACAGTTTGGGGAACAGTAACAACAATCGGGGCTCCGTTTGGAGATAATTGAAAACGCTACACGCAAAAATAACAAACGATTTATTCAATCAACAGAAATCAACGATCATGGCGTACAAGCTCTCTCTTAAATTACGATATTTACACTCGTCAGTCGAGCCCAACTAGGCGAGCGCCAACCTGATTCAGCGCCTCCGTGATACCCCTGGAAGTCTTTTTCGCCGCGTTCCGTGGAAACTGGAATGAATTAATTGCGTGTAGCAGAGGAATGTACGATTAATTCGCTACTCTGAATGTGAACAAGCTTACGTCGACGATAGTATTGAGGAAATTGCTGAATCCTTCGAAGCCGCTGACTAGGGCGCGACCGATCCCGATAAACTTGTCCCCAGAATTTCCATATTTCTCTTGCTCCTTGATGCCGTCGACCAGTGGCGTAGGCTTCAAAAAAGATTCCAAAAAACCCGCGATGGGCTTCGGGACCGGTTTCTCCAAGAATCTTTGCGCAGTCTCGTTCTCCAGTCGCACGGTCTCACGCGCGTTGACTAGAGTGTTCGTCACTGGCGGGTACGGGGTCGATCCTGAGGATATGGGTCCATGACTCAAGGCCACCGACTTCTCCACGATCACGTTGTTCTCGCTGGCCAACGCCTGCTCGTAAACGAGATTATTTATCTCCCGAACGCTTCGATCCTGTTACGACTTTCTCGGTTTCTCGGTCGTCTGAATTGTCAATGGCGCGTGTGATAGGTACACGGGTGTCAGGTGAACGTTCCAGCCATATCTCGTGGGTTAATTACGCGAGTTCTGCGCGAGATTCGACCTCGAGAAGTTTTTGCCGAGTCAGGCTGATTCCTTATTCGCTATTGCCTCACGAGATTAGAGAAAGATGCAGCCTTGGGCCGAATAATAACGAAACGACTTTGGAAGATGAGTCGACCTATGCTTTCGGTATTTTTCATTTTATTTATTTATTTATTTTTTGTTCTTCTTGTTGAGAGGTTAGTATAGTGGGATTGATGATAAATTACTGATGAAGCGAGTGCGCCAATTACCTCCGCCCGATTAGTTACGATGTTTCTGGCCAACGTGACTGAATTCACGAACCTCCCAGTCCCGATTCTTATCGCGTCCGCGACACGGCCTAACAATTCCTACAAAAACACAATTTTTCACCTTCCTCTGCAATCTCAGCCAAACACCAATTCGATCATTAATTCTCTCTTTCACTTAGTCTTTCGTTCATTCTTCACGCTCTTTCGTCACGAGTGTTCTTGCTACGATCTCGCAGCCTAGAGCAGTGACGGATAGATTAATACACTGAGAGGTCGTTGACCTTCTTTCTCTTTCAAAAACCTCCTCTGTGACTGGGTTTTCTGACAAATTTGACAATTCCGTAAAATAGACCAGGATCAAGAAGAAAAATTCGTTTCTGGATAGTATAATCCATAATGTACAGACAGTCAGCTCAGCTCTACCCTACTCAGGATCTCTGTTCTCCCTCGTGCACTTTATTCCACCGAGTGTGAATAAATAAAAATCGAAGAGAAAATTGGCAAACCAGTCAAAGAACCGTGTCACCCGAACCTGCTCTTACACTCACTCGACCTTGCTGGAAATTAAGCGACGTCCCTGGAACGACATTCCTCTCGCCTCCTTCGCCCGTGCTGAGCGTGAATCTGGTCGGTTGTTCAGCTGGCGAACCAACGGACAGATGGAGCAGGCACAGCAGAACCAGGATGCGTAATCCCGAGATCCTCTCTGCTCCGAAATGCACCCACATCGTTGCGCTACAACCAAGACTCCGCCTTTTCAATTCCGCTTTCCTCGAGCGAAAGCGAAGATCGGCAAGCGTACTCACTACACGGGTTCTCCTGCGCTTCTGCACTGGGTCGTTCTGCTGTGGAACGAGGGAAGAATCAGGGTGGAAAGGACAATTGGTCGAGGTGCTTCTCCAATCGCTGTCACGCGGCGACTAAGAGATTTCGTTGTACTCCGTTATAAAGTCAGGTGTATAGTATTGCGACACGAGGCTACTTTCTCTTTCGATTTGCCTCGCTATGTTGGCAACGACGAGTACGAATCGGCCACGCGATACGTGCTTCCTCGGAAGCTCGATCGGCCTGATAGGGTAATTGCACGTAGACGGGAAATCGCTGGAAGATAAACAGACCGTCCTCGAGGAGGCTTAGGGAAGGAGAAGAAAGTGAACGTTCGTTCCAGCGAGTTACATTTATTTTTCGCTTAAATACGTGCGTCATTGCGACGCGTATAATTAATCGCGTTCGGCCATGTTAATAGGAGCACACGACGGCCTAGCTAGAAAACGTTGTCATACTTGACTCGGTTGACGAGGAAGGCGTGATACCTAGTATACCTCCGAGTAGGGATTGAACGAGTGAAACCACCACCTTTAATACATTTGCGAGTATATCAGCGGGGACCTGAAACACGGAGTGAAGAAACTTTGATTAGAGAATTGACAGCGTCGCTGAGTGGGACTAGGACTATGACGATACGAGGACCTTCGTAGTCGACATTATAGCTTTTCGGGGCAGAATTGTGTCCATGGATTTGTATCGGATATGACGCGTCAATTGGAATTGCGCGACTATTATGAAACTATTTTTCCCCTTGAAGGTAATGACTGGCTATTCTTTATCTGGGACGAAGACGTTGCTCTCTGATAAAGCTAATATTTAACGAGGAGATATTTTTCGAGCGATGCGAAAGGAACATACCTGTAATAGGCCTTCGAGTAGTTCCACGACATTCCCAATTATCGGTATATTTGTTAGTATGTCGTTAAGTGGGTTATCTTTAAGGTCCTGCAGAGTGCCGAGTATTAAATCCACTGGATTCGACTGAACATCACCGTATAACTTTTCTATAAATGTAAGAATAGTTTGCCCTAGTGCCTCCACTTCGTTGGGAAGTAGCGCAAGCATTTCTAAACACAATAAAATATTTCAATACGCCACTACTTGAAACTTTCACAAACACGCAAACAATGGGAAACATTTACAAACACACTGCATAACGTTACCATGACACACGTGTCAAAGATTATCCGAAATTTGAATCGATAATCCAACTAGAGGTGCACACCCTACGTCGATGGTAGGTTAAAGTAACACGTCGTCGAAAGAAAGGGAACGATCTTTTTAAAAATCTGATTACGCGAAAAATCGAATTTCTATCGAATACTGGAAATATTTATTGACAGAACTTACCGGTTAAGCCTCCGCTATTGCTCCTCTTCCTTCTTACTCCTAATTCGAAATTTTACTTTATTATTTCGTTCATGGAAATACGTATTAACGTTGACGAGTCACTGCTGGTAAGTTGACAGTGGGAAAAATACGAAAGCCTGCTCGGACGCGAGCATAAAATCGGATCACGCGCGTTTTCGCTATTACCGAACTCGATCGCATATTTTATTCCAAATCTGTCCCTATTTCGGTTTGTCTCGCGGTCCCATAAGTCTCGGGAAACGTTAATAGCCAGCAGCTCGTCCTTGCCCCCGTGTCAACGTGACTGTCAATTTATCAGCGGTGAACAGTACCTCCTTCTGTTACAGGTGTCTCTTCCGGTGGTGGACTGGGCTCGACATTGCCTCCGACTTCAGATCCCTCTAGAAGACGATAATAATTTCAGAGCTGTTATCAGTCTCACCTGACATATTTCTTAGCCTTTCTTAATATTTTCGCCCGTTAAAAGTAAGTGTCATTACCCGAGGCTGGTCCGCTTGGACTCACTGCCGGAGGTTCCACCTGAAAAATTAAAACAAGCTAGGATTACTCTGGGAATCAACCCAATTCGCCTAAACCACGGGTCTGATTAATAGTCCCGAATAGGAGCAACGCTCTAACCCAAAGTGTATATTCAAAATGGGAATTATTTTAACCAAAAGTTCCAATTTTTGCTTCGTTTCTTATTCCCGTTCCTGACGAGTATATCGAATGAAAATATTTCTCAAACGAGGAATAAATAGATTAAAGTTTTAAAAATATCGGCTGATTTTTACACAACGTCAAAAAGCACCGTTTTATTCCGAAAAGTGTCTTACCTCGCTCTCCGGTCTAGCCAATACTCCAACCAACAGTACTAGCATCGATAGAATCACCAATTTCATGTCAAACATCTTCATCTTGCTTGTCTTCCTACGATTTTCAACGGAAATGCACGGAACAGTGAAAGCAAACGCTTTGTTTTACGTTTCTTACTCTACTTCGTTTAGTTACCGACTCGTCATATTTATATAGCTATCGGTCAGTTTATGTCACACTGTTTGACCATTAATAGTAAATGCTCAGTAATAGGTCTAGTTGCTCGAACATTAGCATCGATATCCAAAAACACGTCCTTGAGCCCCGTCGCTGCTATCATTATTCGGTTCTCTTTGTTGACGTGGATCGCGGTTTACATAACTTAAACGAGTGTTTCGTCGAATAAGGCGATGCAACGTGAAAGAACGAGATAAGAGCAAATTGTAAGGAAATATTGTTGGATGTCCCCGATAAGCCAGGCGTTTAGGAAGTACGACGTTGCCCGAAATCGACGGAGGATCGATCTCTCGTTTGACAACGGAGGCGCTAGAAACGGAGGTGGATCGCATACGTTTACGATAATTTATTTTAAAAAAAGCACTCGATGCATCATACACGGCGTATCTGCATTCTTATTGACTCATAATTACTTCCATTACCAGCAAGTCTCGTATAAAATACACACATTGAAGGCGGTAAAATTAGAGGGACACGTGGCCGTCGTTGGTCAACCGGAATTGTTGTTTAATAATTGGTTGACAGCGTTCAGCGTTGATACCGGTATCTGCGAAAATAAGGACAATTAGGCGAACGAAAATTGGCATTCGTAGGAAGTTCTGTATCGAAATCTTCGCGTCGGAATCGAGTATCTGTCTTACGTTGAACACGTCGTCGAAGAAGCCATTGCCATTGTTTTTCGCTGTCGCGGTGGTCCGCGATGCTGGCAGAGGGTCCGAATAAGTGATCGTCTGACGTTTCTGAGTATTCGAATGCACGACATCCTGTTTCTCTACGGAGGACGGTTCGTACTCTAGAATAACCTGTTTCCTTGGTGCCCAAAACCTCTTCCTGCCTGGACGGATGATCCTCACTCGAGTAGGAAGATTGTCTGACAGGTAAAAGAGAAGGAAAAAATTGCGCAGATGAAAAAAGTGATTTGCATTCTACGAAGAACAGAGATTAATCGAGACTCTATCCTCACCGACTTGCGTGACCTCGTTTGCTTCGTTGAGTAAAGGTGGTACAGCGGGAGCTGGCTCGACGGCAGGTGCCAATTGAGCAGGCTGTGCCTCACGGATCTGACGTCATAATATTTGCATACCATTAAATCTTAAGACTACTTAAGATCGACTACCTTAAAATCCTGGTACGAATTCGACAGTGTTTTACCTCTTTATTCGCGGGAGGATCGGCTGGCGTAGGAACCTCCGTGGACCCTGGTCCAGAGCTCACTACCTGCACAGACGTTGCCTCGATAGAGTTACTTCGAAATCTTTTAAGGATTATCGAGTAAGCGGGATAGTTTTTCACAAACCTGTTTCACCTTTTCCTTCTTCCTGATTATTTGAATATTCGAACGACCTTTGGCCGGTTTTCCTCCATCGTCGCCAGGATTTCCGCCGCTGGCTCCACTCTGACTATCGCTCGATGAACTGGTACTGCCTCCGGTCGACACCCCAATCCCACGCGTGCCCGTGGTAGCCCCAGCGAAGAGTCCTCCTCTGGCTCCAGCACCCGATCTTCCACTTCCGTCTAACAAACCGCCCAATCCTGCCGCGGCTTCGTGTCTTCCGTTACCCAGACCAGCTCTCGCGTAGAGACCACCTCCTATCGAGCGATTCGTTGCGCGAATCGTTTGAATGCGTTTGTTATTTTTATTTTTATTTTTCTATATAAAAATTAGATCGAAGAAAAATTGGTCGAAGGGTTAAATCATACGTGTCTTTCGTTCTGAATATGAGACCAATTTTCTATCGAACAATCGGTCGCGTGGATGTAACCGATGGTGAGCACACTCGGTTTAATTCCTTCTTTATTATTCATAAGGGAGGAATTCAAAATTTATCAGAAGAATCTTGATCGATTGACAATGATGGAGAAAGGTCACGGCTTTAGCAGGAGGAAAAATAAGGATGCAATGGAATTATACTAACCAGCATTCGCATTGTTACCACCGAGTATTCCACCAAGGCCAGCGGACGCATGGGCGCCCCAGGGTGCTCCTGCGCTCGCGTGCAGTCCACCTCCTGTTTGCGATCCGGTTAGAAGGCCACCTAGGCCAGCTTGAGCGTGATAGCCCGCGAAATTGAAACGGATGCCACCGTCGGTGAATTGAATGAACGGAAGCTACGAAAAGATAAGGAGGAGAAATTATTCTGTACCCTTTTACTGCTACCTCCATGTACGTACTACACTCTAAAGATGGCGCGACCGTATTGACATCTCGTTTGAATAATATATCTGTAGAATATTTTTACGGTTCGAACTGAGTGCATGGGAACACTTGGGCCATCCTCCTAGATGAGGGATAATAAACAGGACTCGGGTTCAGCTAGAACGTTCAGGGTGATATCTGGAGTATTTGAAGAAGCAGTATTATGATCGCGCGCAAGGATTAGGGACAGGAGGGGATTATAGGGACAGGACGTTTATGACTGTACCGAGTACGACAATGAGCGAAAGTTAGGAATGCCTCTGAGTGTTTGAAGTACCTGGTCTACCGAAGGTAAGCTCGCCTGGGAAATGAGGGATCGAGAAAGCAAGCCTGAGTGTGTAAGAAGAGAGACTGCTAGGTTTAGGCTGCAAGGGCCGTCTTTGAGGAGTCTTAGAGAGGCTTGAACAGGATTTATGAAGAGCCTGTCAGAGAGAGTTTTAAGTTGATTTCGATGTGCATAGTCGAGGAAAGTAAATACCTAAGAGTGTAAGCCAGTGGCGTAATCATAGATCAGTTATTACTCTAATATTTTATTTCATACTTTACTTCTAGTCTCATTTAGCATGTCGAATAAATTTCACAAATAAATTTTACTAATGAACTTTAATGATGATACCACCAAATGATTATTAAATTTCACAAATTTTTGTTCCTCATTTTCCTCGCATACACAAGCATACGATTTATATTTTCTTCGCTGCATTTAAATGAGAGAGACTGGTTAACCGATAAACAAAATAAACAAAGAAAATTCACATATCGTTTGTTTGATACTCTGATCTCTCGTTTCATCATCGGTTCAATTGGTCAACAGCGTCGGAGCTAAATCGTGCAACTATTTAAAGATCGAGATAGTCTGCTTCGGTTATCTTATCAAATACTATTCCGCGAATATTTTCTACTTGTTTCAAGTTCGTGAAAAACTTTGCAATTTGTTGCACGATTAACACTAGAACTACCGATCTTTAATGGGTACCAAATTATAACGTGCACAGATTATAGTAATTTCAGAGGTACGACGAATACGAGCGAATATATCGATTACAGTCCTTTCTTAATACGAGTTGATGCCAATTTTATTCTTGAAGCAGGTGCACGTGTTCGGTGATTGCAGAAAGGAAAATTCTGGGACCAGTGATTTTGACTAGGTTGGTAGTTCTAGTGTTAATAATAAAACAAGTTTGTTTAAATAAAACATTATGATCGTTCGGAGGAAAATACTGGATTCTCGTGAATTAGAGAGACGAGTATAGACGGATTCAGGTTTATCGTTGCCTATATTTACTTCTGTGCTGGAGAACTGGGTTGACAATGAGTTAAAAGGCGACGATACCTCCAACTGTAGGACTTTTTCCTAATTTGTCTAATAAACAACAACTCCTTTTTAACGCTAGAACTACCGATCTTCAATGGGTACCTAACTATAACGTTCACAGATTATAGCAATTTCAGCGATACGACGAATACGAGCGAATATATCGATTACAGTTCTTTCTTAATACGAGTTGATGCCAATTTTATTCTTAAAGTAGGTGTACGTGTTCGGTGATTGCAGAAAGGAAAATTCTGGGACCAGTGATTTTCACTGGGTTGGTAGTTCTGGCGTTAATTATTCGCCAGGCGAGTAAAATTCATACGGGCGATTCGAACTTTCGACGAGACGACCGGAATAACAATCCTCACGCGTCACGGCAACTTTTCAAATTGCATTTGCATGTTTTCCAAACTCTTTGCCGTCTGACTTATCAGGCCTATCTATTTTTACTCCCGAGACAGAGGTGCGAGTGCGATAATCGACTGACAAATTCTAATCACTGCTTTCCACTGATATAACATAACATATAACTATACGAGCTCTCGAATCCGTAGGTTCGCATTTCCGCGATCCTTTCTCTGATCACGGTTGCGTTTCTCGATTACCTAACAGTATTCCGCCATCGGCTAGTTTTCCTCTCCTTCCCGAGCTGTCTCTATTACCGTACGATTCTGCGTCACTCGCTCCTCGTTATAACATCCTCGCGAGGATGGCCGAACAGATGTTCCACGATTTGCATAGCGTTCCACTCGCGAAGATTAGAAAGCCAGGCGATAGAAGCCACAGGAAGCTGTTTGCGCGATTTGCAAAGCAAACGTTTGAGCACGGCAACAATGGAAATTTCAAATATTTGCACTGCAAACGAATTCGCGTATCGAATACTACACGTCCGACGAATAAATTAACGAACCTCCACTTCTTCAGCATTGACTTTTCAATTTTAAATTGGCAGATGACGAAGCGAAACTGGGCAAATGACAGAGGCACAGACAGCGTGGCATAACACGAGAGTAGCACAGAAGGATCGTGATAAAAATTTCGTCCAACGGATTCCATCGAACAAAGAAACTCACCCCCTCTGAGGAGCCCTGATTGTTCTCAGCCATCCCGTTGACGAGTGCAAGTAGACCAAGAAGACACACCGAGACAACCTTGCTGCACAGCATCTTTCTCTCAACTGACTCGCGCAACCGCCGGCCTAACGCATTTACTACCGATTTCTAAAAAGACCTCGAAGGCATCTCGGGCTCACCTTCTCGCCGGGAAGGGATAAGGTCTGACGTAGCCTAAGAGCTGGCCGCCTCTCGATTCGTGACTGCGAGCATATCGCTGGCTATTGCGATTGCCTACCGAATGTACTATGATTGCGGGGGTCAAGGACGGAATTCTCGGGAACAATAGGCTGACACTCGTTTCTTTTCCGGTCTCGCATTGGCTACGCCAGCTGGTAAGCATCGGCCAGTTCTCTTGAGCGTAGAGCAGATGATAGGTACGTTTTCCTAAAGGCGCGTTTCCCTAGTACCTCCAGACAAAGGATTTTGCAACGACACAAGTGTTTGGTCGTTAGGAAACGTGACAGCGTGGAAAAGAACTTCCTCGTTTAGATATAAGCTGCAATGATTTCGATCTTGGCACCCGAGCAAATTCATCGATGGCATTTCGAAGTACGATGTAATATTTATTTATTAACTCCATTTTGAATCTTGAACGGTGATGAGAGGTACGTAAAACGAGAGACGTTTGCACTGTAATGAACATTTATACAGGAGAATAAATTCCTGGTACAAGAGGTGTAAAATCTGTCAACAAGTTTATGTCAAATTGGTTATAATTGAAGTAAGAGAGGAGGAAAAATTTATAGGTGTACGTGTTCGGTGATTGCAGAAAGGAAAATTCTGGGACCAGTGATTTTCACTGGGTTGGTAGTTCTGGCGTTAATTATTCGCCAGGCGAGTAAAATTCATACGGGCGATTCGAACTTTCGACGAGACGACCGGAATAACAATCCTCACGCGTCACGGCAACTTTTCAAATTGCATTTGCATGTTTTCCAAACTCTTTGCCGTCTGACTTATCAGGCCTATCTATTTTTACTCCCGAGACAGAGGTGCGAGTGCGATAATCGACTGACAAATTCTAATCACTGCTTTCCACTGATATAACATAACATATAACTATACGAGCTCTCGAATCCGTAGGTTCGCATTTCCGCGATCCTTTCTCTGATCACGGTTGCGTTTCTCGATTACCTAACAGTATTCCGCCATCGGCTAGTTTTCCTCTCCTTCCCGAGCTGTCTCTATTACCGTACGATTCTGCGTCACTCGCTCCTCGTTATAACATCCTCGCGAGGATGGCCGAACAGATGTTCCACGATTTGCATAGCGTTCCACTCGCGAAGATTAGAAAGCCAGGCGATAGAAGCCACAGGAAGCTGTTTGCGCGATTTGCAAAGCAAACGTTTGAGCACGGCAACAATGGAAATTTCAAATATTTGCACTGCAAACGAATTCGCGTATCGAATACTACACGTCCGACGAATAAATTAACGAACCTCCACTTCTTCAGCATTGACTTTTCAATTTTAAATTGGCAGATGACGAAGCGAAACTGGGCAAATGACAGAGGCACAGACAGCGTGGCATAACACGAGAGTAGCACAGAAGGATCGTGATAAAAATTTCGTCCAACGGATTCCATCGAACAAAGAAACTCACCCCCTCTGAGGAGCCCTGATTGTTCTCAGCCATCCCGTTGACGAGTGCAAGTAGACCAAGAAGACACACCGAGACAACCTTGCTGCACAGCATCTTTCTCTCAACTGACTCGCGCAACCGCCGGCCTAACGCATTTACTACCGATTTCTAAAAAGACCTCGAAGGCATCTCGGGCTCACCTTCTCGCCGGGAAGGGATAAGGTCTGACGTAGCCTAAGAGCTGGCCGCCTCTCGATTCGTGACTGCGAGCATATCGCTGGCTATTGCGATTGCCTACCGAATGTACTATGATTGCGGGGGTCAAGGACGGAATTCTCGGGAACAATAGGCTGACACTCGTTTCTTTTCCGGTCTCGCATTGGCTACGCCAGCTGGTAAGCATCGGCCAGTTCTCTTGAGCGTAGAGCAGATGATAGGTACGTTTTCCTAAAGGCGCGTTTCCCTAGTACCTCCAGACAAAGGATTTTGCAACGACACAAGTGTTTGGTCGTTAGGAAACGTGACAGCGTGGAAAAGAACTTCCTCGTTTAGATATAAGCTGCAATGATTTCGATCTTGGCACCCGAGCAAATTCATCGATGGCATTTCGAAGTACGATGTAATATTTATTTATTAACTCCATTTTGAATCTTGAACGGTGATGAGAGGTACGTAAAACGAGAGACGTTTGCACTGTAATGAACATTTATACAGGAGAATAAATTCCTGGTACAAGAGGTGTAAAATCTGTCAACAAGTTTATGTCAAATTGGTTATAACCGAAGTAAGAGAGGAGTAAGAATTTCTTTTCTCTGTGATTTTGCAACAATGAAGATTGTTACACCATGCATGGTCATCAAGAAGGCTAAATATAGAGCTACTGCATTTCAAGAGGTGTAAAATCTGTCAACAAGGTTATGTCAAATCGGTTATAATTGAAGTAAAAGAGGAGGAAGAATTTCTTTTCTCTGTGATCTTTCAACAATGAAAATTGTTCCACCATGCATGGTCACCAAGAAGGCTAAATATAGAGCTACTGCATTTCAAGAGGTGTAGAATCTGTCAAATTGGTTATAACTGAAGTAAGAGAGGAGGAAGAATTTCTTTTCTCTGTGATCTCGCAACAATGAAAATTATTCCACCATGTATGGTCATCAAGAAGGTTAAATATAAAGCTACTGCATTTCAAGAAGTATAAAATATGTCAACAGGGTTATGTCAAATTGGTTATAACTGAAGTAAAAGAGGAGGAAAAATTTCTTTTCTCTGTTATCTTGCAACAATGAAAATTGTTCCACCATGCATGGTCACCAAGAAGGTGAAATATAGAGCTACTGCATTTCAAGAGGTGTAGAATCTGTCAAATTGGTTATAACCGAAGTAAGAGAGGAGTAAGAATTTCTTTTCTCTGTTATCTCGCAACAATGAAAATTGTTACACCATGCATGGTCATCAAGAAGGTTAAATATAGAGCTACTGCATTTCAAGAGGCGTAAAATCTGTCAACAAGGTTATGTCAAATCGGTTATAATTGAAGTAAAAGAGGAGGAAGAATTTCTTTTCTCTGTGATCTTTCAACAATGAAAATTGTTCCACCATGCATGGCCATCAAGAAGGTTAAATATAGACCTACTGCATTTCAAGAGGTGTAGAATTTGTCAAATTGGTTATAACTGAAGTAAGAGAGGAGGAAAAATTTCTTTTCTTTGTGATCTCGCAACAATGAAGATTGTTACACCATACATGGTCATCAAGAAGGTTAAATATAGAGATACTGCATTTCAAGAGGTGTAGAATCTGTCAAATTGGTTATAACTAAAGTAAGAGAAGAGTAAGAATTTCTTTTCTCTGTGATCTCGCAACAATGAAAATTGTTCCACCATGCATGGCCATCAAGAAGGTTAAATATAGAGCTACTGCATTTCAAGAGGTAAAATCTGTCAACAGGGTTATGTTAAATTGGTTATAATTGAAATGAAAGAGGAGGAAGTATTTCTTTTCTCTGTGATCTTGTGCAACAATGATAATTTTTCCACCATGCATGGTCACCAAGAAGGTTAAATATAGAGCTACTGCATTTCAAGAGGTGTAGAATCTGTCAAATTGGTTATAACCGAAGTAAGAGAGGAGTAAGAATTTCTTTTCTCTGTGATCTCGCAACAATGAAAATTGTTCCACCATGTATGGTCATCAAAAAGGTTAAATATAGAGCTACTGCATTTCAAGAGGTAAAATCTGTCAACAGGGTTATGTCAAATTGGTTATAACTGAAGTAAAAGAGGAGGAAAAATTTCTTTTCTCTGTGATCTCGCAACAATGAAGATTGTTACACCATGCATGGTCATCAAGAAGGTTAAATATAGAGCTACTGCATTTCAAGAGGTGTAGAATCTGTCAAATTGGTTATAACCGAAGTAAGAGAGGAGGAAAAATTTCTTTTCTCTGTGATCTCGCAACAATGAAAATTGTTCCACCATGCATGGTCATCAAGAAGGTTAAATATAGAGCTACTGCATTTCAAGAGGTAAAATCTGTCAACAGGGTTATGTTAAATTGGTTATAATTGAAATGAAAGAGGAGGAAGTATTTCTTTTCTCTGTGATCTTGTGCAACAATGAAAATTTTTCCACCATGCATGGTCATCAAGAAGGTTAAATATAGAGCTACTGCATTTCAAGAGGTGTAGAATCTGTCAAATTGGTTATAACCGAAGTAAGAGAGGAGTAAGAATTTCTTTTCTCTGTTATCTCGCAACAATGAAGATTGTTACACCATGCATGGTCATCAAGAAGGTTAAATATAGAGCTACTGCATTTCAAGAGGTGTAGAATCTGTCAAATTGGTTATAACCGAAGTAAGAGAGGAGTAAGAATTTCTTTTCTCTGTTATCTCGCAACAATGAAGATTGTTACACCATGCATGGTCATCAAGAAGGTTAAATATAGAGCTACTGCATTTCAAGAAGTGTAAAATCTGTCAACAGGGTTATGTCAAATTGGTTATAACTGAAGTAAAAGAGGAGGAAAAATTTCTTTTCTTTGTGATCTCGCAACACTGAAGATTGTTCCACCATGCATGGTCAACAAGAAAGTTAAATATAAAGCTACTTCATTTCAAAGAGTCAAGGGAACGAGTCCTGTTCTTCAAAGTGGAACAGGTGGAACAGGTTTTAGGAAGTACACAATATGGTCTCATCTTGTGGTTAATGAATCGTAGTGGGATCAGAATGGCGCAAATCATGGTGATTCGGAGAACTTTGTTCTAGTTCAACCGTGATTATATTTACTTCGAGTTTCAGGGAAGTTGACGTAGGAGAGAGATGGAAAAAATCTGGTAATAAATAGTAAGTTTTTGTCCATCCGGATGCATGACGCCAAAGAAAAGATGAGGAACGTGTCGATGGTAATTGGCGTATGCTAATTTCCTGGTTCAAAGTTAAATCGGACATGCATATGTTTCTTTCGTAATTATTGAATTCATTGGAACTTCGTTACACTCGTTTATATTTAAAATCAAGTTTTCACAGTATCGACTGCACAGGCTGCTTTTATTTCCAAAGTTTCGAGAAATTTTGACAGACAGATCATTGTTTACGCTAGAATTACCGATCTTTAATGGGGACCTAACTGTAACGTGCACAAATTATAGTAATTTCAGAGGTACGGTGAATATGAGCGAATATATTAATTACAGTTCTTTCTCAATACGAGTTGATACCAATTTTATTCTTAAAGCAAGTGTATGTGCTCGGTGATTGCAAAAAGGAAAATTCTGGGGCCAGAAAATTCTGTGTTGGTAGTTCTAGTGTTAATAAATCGTTTCCCAATTCCGTTTTAACGTTCCAGGATCCGCAATGGTGACTAAAATTAACAGAAGTGGGCAAACATACAGTTATCGCGCGAGTTTCCAACTCGATGGACTTTACTCTTGCGAATCCGGCGAAATTCGCGTATCCGATTAGCATAGCTTCGAATATCAAAGAATCCAGCCCTGGATTGTTTATATCCATTGCTTACCTACTATCTGCTCATTATGTTTTCCAATGGACTGAAAGTCAGGAAACGCTTTCCGTTGTTTTATTCGACTCGTAGATTATGAACGAAACCGGTCATATGAATCACTCAACCTTCGCCGCCATGTTTCATGCATGTGCTAAGACATTACGATAACTGCGGAATAATTTAATACTCCGTCGCGAACTAATTACCATTTATCCTGAGATTTATGCAACTATGATGTCTCGAGCATGCGAATTAAATTACGGGTGCTGTGGGTTACGCGATTCTTCGTCGAATCGAGTTGAGGTTAGGTCTCGACCCGTCGACCGCCATGTTGGATTCGACGGGTCGAGACCTAACCTCTCGTACCCTTCAATTTCGTTTTAATCTAATAGGATTTCGAGCGTCTTCCGTTACTCGGGACACTCTCTGTATATTAATAGCACTTTCCTGTTTATGCGAACAGCCGAATAAATTAATTCCAGTAATTCTCATGCCACTCGCGATTCTGGTTTCTTCGAACAAAAAGGGATAGAAATTATACCAAATTATCCTGCGAGTGGTTTTCACGAATAAAAATTTATTTCCTGATCACCGAATATGTTTATATATACGTTTTTAAAAAAACATTTAAACGAGCTTCCTGGTTAGGTTCATCCTTGCTCGTTTGACACCCGCTTCCTGACAAAGCCGAGTCCACCGACCCAACGGAATATCAATTACACGAAACAGCAAGATGGCGGAATCAGATTCGAATATCCATGCGTACGCGTGCTGGTAAATTTTCGTGCTTGTCTCTTCGTTATTCATCGGACGCGTTACGTACGAAATGTTTTCCGTATCGACTCGACGCGCATTTTAATATGCCGTCCGGAAGCCGCGGAATTTTTCGTGGCACAAACGTGACTCTGGAATTCGTGGATCGGCAGGGGTCCGCGAAAACCGGTGAATCACTGTCGTCCATGATGCCTTCGTTGCAACGATCGAATCGTCGTTTCGGTTAAGCACTTTCTCTAAGCTGCAGCACTCCGTCGTTTGTTATCTGCATAATCGGTACACCGTGACTCATCCTACTTACGAATGGTTAGCGGGCAAATTTGCTTATAGGATATATAACGCCGTCTCTACTCGAACACGGAAGTCTGGTACGCGTGAGCGACATTGCGAGCTTGCGAAATCCATCGAGACTGGAAGATCGAACGAGTGCAAACGTTTCTTCGACTTGCGAAAGAACGATGCTGGGTATTCTACCCCGATATAGCTTATATACAGGGTGTCCTGGGAAAACGTATACACACTTTAATGCCTTACTCTTTCCAATTTGTTTATACTCTTAATCTGTAATCTATCATTTGTAATCATCATAAGTGTGTATACATTTTTTTGGGACACCCTGTATTTTTAGTATATTTACCCTATTGCTGCGTAGAAATATTAATGTTTATACTATAAACGTACCAACGTCGTGTAAAATAATTTTATTCTAAAATATGTACCATTTTTGGATCGACACTGAGTTACGGGACACGCCATTTTGAATTTGAAACACGTGCTTCGAATTTCACGAGAGAAATTATGTAAACGGAAACTAATTATTTTAAACTAAAATAATCTCTAAGAATATTACATAAATTTTATGTAAATGTAGGAATTTTTTGAAATTGGTTCATTTTTAATACAAAATAAATTTATCTCTTCACACACTGACCTGAGTACCATTCTGACGACTACTCTCGAGCACTTGATAATCCACTAACTGACTTGTAACTGCTCTGTGACTGACCCTGTCTTTCAGAACGGGCCCTTTTAACCCTTTGCACTCGAGAGGCGCCTTTCAGTCACCATTTGATAAAATTTCGAAGCTCGATATATATCAAATTTACAATAACGTAACAGTGTGCGAGGTATCGAATTAAAATACGTGTTACGTGTTAATTATTATACAATTTCTTATTTACTGTTCAAAATAATATCGTCAGCTTTGTAGCAGACAATTTTTGAACTCTTACTCTTCTTTAATCAAAAGATAGTCGAGTGCAAAGGATTAAAATAAGTTTGTAATTATATACTTAAATATGTAAATTTATTTTATAATCTTTTCGGCTTATTTTAAAATTTCGGAAAGTCGAGTGCAAAGGGTTAAAATAAGTGTATAATTATATACTTAAATATGTAAATTTATTTTATAATCTTTTCGGCTTATTTTAAAATTTCGGAGAATATATAAACTATTTTTGACAAAATTTACGGTTTCAGATAATTCTTTATAGACATAATTATGGAGTGCTACATAGTTTCATGAGATTTGCAGCTCATAGATCGGGTACCCCATTTTACTGACCATGATTACGGACTTCTCTTGCTAATTTTACGTGTTAATTATTATACGATGTCTTATTTACTGCTTAAAAAATATCAGCAGCCTTATGGCAGAGAATTTTTCAACTCGTGCCCTTCTTTAACCAAAAAAGAGTTAGAGCCCGTCCAGAAGACGAGCGCCTCCCTGAAGGAGAAGAAACTCCCTCTACCTTAAGATCAAGTGCGAAGGAGACTCTTTTCTCCAAGTTAACCCCTAAGAAGAGTCACCCTCGCGGGGACCCTTCCTCAAAAGTGACCGTGGTCGCATCACCCTCGGTTTATCCCAGGGAAAGTCGGGGTTGCTCAGGGCCACCTAACCTGGCCCCGACCTCCTACGGCCCACCTGGCAGCCAAATACTAACGGATCCTTTAGACCCGAGTTCCAGGCGAGGTCACTCTACCCCAATAAACGAGTGTCCCTCATTTACCATTCCTACATAAATTATCTTACAGTTTCGTTTGTAAGTTAATGGTGTATAATTACGTTGCTTTTTAAACAAAATGTCGACGCGTGTCCGTGGAGATAGGTGTACAAGAAATCTCCATAAACCTAGTGTTCATAAATAGGAATTTATGTGTTACAATTAATTTTAATCGAATGCTTGAAAGACTCTCTTTAGAACAAAGATGCAAACGGGTTGATGAGGAACAGAGCACCTGGATCAAACTACTGTTGGCATCGTTTACGAAGGGTCCAAAATTCCGTCAAACGTTGGGAGTATTTAGCAGAACTTGCAAGGAACAGGTAACTCGAAAATCCCGATTTTCGTAGGCTCAGTTTTTCCAGTTTTTCACAGGCTCGAGAAACGTTGGAAATTAAAGAAATTCGTTTTACGAGCAACAATTCACCAGAGTGAAAATACCACTTGTATTTCTGTCTCTTCTTATTTGTCCATTTAACTTGGAAAGTGCATTAGATATGTAAACGTTTTTCAAATTAAAATTAAGCTTTCTAGCCTTTTAAGATTATGCTATCGTGACAAATGATGGGAATTTGTTACGTAAATAAAACTATTACTGCCATTAAGTTACAAGCAAAGTTTATAAAATATCGGATTCTTTGAATTACACAATGTTCCTCGTTGATAGCCATAAATGACTGATAAATGAATTATAGTTAACGACAGTGATGATTGAGCTGCGATTTCGAATTATCAGCTTTATAATGTATTTTTTCTTTTATTTACTGATAACACGATTGAACTTTCATTGACAGTTTATATAAGACGCACTGTGAGCCATCTTTAATCGATTGTTTAATGGATCGAAAATAAATTCTTTTTCTTGAATTCAAGATAGACTATTGGAGAATAATTCGCCCCTTAAGAAGTTGAGGTTAGTCAACAATTTTGCCATTTTACCACTCGGTATTGCGAACCCCTCATGGCAATTTCAATGGCGCCATTTCTACATCAATCGAAGCCACAGCTTAACACATTAACACTAGATTTACGGAACCCGTCCATTTGACAGAAGGGTTGCTCCAATTATACGATGGTAACAGATTCAGTTAACTTATATTAACCCTTTGCACTCGGCAATTTTCTCGTTACAGGAAAATAGTGATTCGAAGACTTTTTGCCATAAATATTTCTAAAACAGTAAATAAGAAACCGTATGAAAATTAAGACGTAGAATTATTTTACTTCGATATTCCACGCATCGTTGGGTAATTGTAAATTTGATATATTAATTAACATCTATTTTTAGAATCTGATTAAATGGTGACTGAGAGGCGCCTTTCGAGTGCAAAGGGTTAAGACTGTTAATATAATATACAATTGTTTTTAAATTAAACTAATCGTTACAGAAAAAGGCACGTGGTTTCCTTTACCTGTCAATTTGGCAAGTGTCCTCAGAAATAAATATGCAGATAGCGTCCGTAAACCTAGTATTGATCGAAGAATTCATATAAAAATCGAGCCCTGACTATTCGATTGATTTTTGAAGAAAAATATCCAGAAAGATATCCAGAACTGCGAATTCTGTCGAATTCGTGTCGTATCATAATTCAGGAAACCCGAGTCCCCTAATTATTAGAGTACATTATCGTTCAAAAATAAAATAAAAATAACGAAGTTTGTTTTTCACTCGCTCAGTCGCTCACGTCTACTATGCACGCACGTCACGTACCATTGACGTTAAAAAAATTCAATTTGACTCTGTGTCTGTGCGATTCTCTCTACGATTGGAACGTTACTCTGTTGTTCCTTGGCGCAACTTTGTTTTGCAATGGAGGATCGTCTTCGTAGTCCAATCTTACGTTCGGAGCGATCTTGTTCTGTATTCGCGTGTCGTCGTAGGGGTACCTGTTCAGCATCTCGTCTCTCGGAGCGATCTTATTTTGTATGGTGATACGGGTATTGCTTGGTCGAGAGCCATAGTACGTGCCAATTCCAGCAGTGACACCGTGCCAGGAATAATTCGTGTCCTCTTCTACCTGCTCGTGAACCTCGTAGCCACCTGAACCTGGCTGACCTCCATGAGTACCTGCGATATATTTCATATGAGAAATTCGTATTTCGATCATGGCGTATTTATTCTTATAGGAACTTGCAACCTGTGTACCTTGACTTCCGTGACCACCGTGAGCACCGTGACCACCGTGACCACCGTGACCGCCGAAGGGTCCCTGAATGCTACCTAAAAGGCCATGATTACTGACCAGCACTGACAGGGCGTTCAGACCAAAGGGATTTTTCTTATTAATTTTAATATTCCTCTTATCGTGTTGCTGTTGCAAACGTTGTTGTTGCTGCTGCTCCCTCTGCAGCCTTTGTCGTTCTCTCTGAGCCAATATCCTGTCCCTCTTCTCCTGTCGTATCCGCTGCAGCTCGTCAGCGTTCAGACGTCTCTGGTCGGACGTGGCCTTCACCAGAGTCCCCACAGCCTCCAAAGTCGACACTGGGATCTACGAAAATAACAACGAGAGGAAAAATTCACTCTGACACGGAGAAGAAATAGCTTAGAGAAAGAGGTACCTTCAAGACGCTGTCAATGGCCTGAGAATTCTGCGGGCTGAATGACTGAGCCGCGGCTGCGGTTTGTCTGATCGCCGTGATTGGGATCTGCGATGTGGAAATCGACTTTAATCGAAGATTAAAGACAGAGAGAGAATTCGAAGGATAATTGGTAAAATTGCGAATCCTACAAATTGTCTCTCGCGAACCAAATGATACTCACGTTGAAGATGCTGTCAATCACGTGACCGCCTCCGTCCTGAACATCCTGTCGCTTCGTTCGCTGAAGAGGCGCCTGAAACGAGGAATTGGAAATGAAGCTGACACGCAAAGGGACACGCGACTGAATACATAATAAAGCTGCAAATACGGGTAGAGGTACGGGACTGTGCGTAGAATTGCTTCTAAATGGTTATTGTGCCTACGCTTCTCAGCAGCTTTCACTTTTCTACATATAAAGAGCGTCAAGCGATTTTCTGCTCGGCAAGTGATAATCGAAAGGTCAACGCGCCTCTTCAACGAGCTTCTCTCCTCTCCTGCTGCACTTTTCTATTTACTTTCCCGTGGCACCATGGAAAATTCGTCATTTCTTGGACCCTCAAACGCTGTTCTCGACTAATTTCGGAACAGAAAGGAACTTTCGTTCCAAACTCGAATTTTTGAGTTCCGAACCTTTAAATTCGAATTCAAATTTCGCGGGCTCGAATTTTAATGTCGGGAACTGGGATTCGAATCTTAGTTCGAAATTTAAAATAATAAGATGGACGTAAGTAACTCACCGTCTCCGAAGACACGACGTAAGCGAGAGCGCTGAGGATGGCCCAAGTGGTTGCAAACATTCTTCTAACAAGATGGCTGAACCGTCGAGCGATGTTCGCGATCGGCAAACTGCAGGACAGGTCGACGATCCTCCGATCTATAAGGATGTTTGCAGGATCCCACGCGAGGCAGCGACCAATCACGATGTAGACCCCCGCGGACCCAGTACCTTTTAGCCACTGGACCTTTCTACTCCACGTAATCCTCGTACGCACGATTCAGCCCCTCCTTTGTCTTCTTTCACCGAGATATCGGGTTATTTTTACCGGTGTGCAAAAGTGTACGAGGAACTTGTTACGCGACGATTGCAAACGATTCGTATTCAAATTAGAAGAAAAGCCGTTGATGAAACGGAAATTAAAATAAATACAAGAACCTCGAGTCGAGTCCTGTTTCGTTTACTCATGCGTAATGGAGTAAAAAGGAGAAATAATTGCAATGGAACTGCAATGAAAATGTAGAGGAAATTTGTGTTTAATTGACCAGGTAAAAAAGAAATTACACAATTGAAGGTAGAGGCACGCGCGTAAGAGAAATTGCTCACGCGAAAGTTACAGAAAATTTGCGAATTGCCAATCAGATGTACTTATGAAAGAAAAAGAAAGAAACCGTGGATTGGTCAGAAATTACCCTTAGAGACGAAAATCCTCTTTCACCGAACTTTCGTGGTACTCTTACGTACTGACAGCTGTGTAAAAGAAACTGATTACGCGAAAGTTGCAAAAAATTGTCGAGTTGCCAATCAGATGTACTGTATACACTTATGCCGAAACGAAAGGAACCGTGAATTGGTCAGAAATTACCCTCAGATACGTAAATCCTCTTTCACCGAACTTTCGTGTTACTCTTACGTACTTGCAGCTGCGTAAGAGAAATTAGCTACGCGAAAGTTGCAGAAAAATTGCAAGTTGTCACTCGGATGTACTCCAGACGTTTCAAGGAAAAGAAAGAAATCGTGAATCGAACAAAAATTACGCTCAGAGACGTAAATCCACCTTTACCAAACTCGCGTGTTACTCTTACGCACTTGCAGCTATGTAAGAGAAATTGGCTACGCGAAAGTTGCAGAAAAGTTGCAAGTTGTAAATCAGATGTACTGTACACGCTTCAAAGAAAATCAAGAAATCATGGATCGAACCACAATTACGTTTAGAAAATTAAATTCTACTTCACCAAAGTCTTGTGTATTACTCTTACGCACTTGTACCTATGTAAGGGAAATTGGCTACGCGAAAGTTGCAGAAAAGTTGCAAGTTGTGAATCGTGTATACTGTACCCTGTTTAAATAAAATAAAGAAATCATGGATCGAACAAAAATTACGCTCAGAAAATTAAATTCTCCTTCACCAAAGTATTGCATTACTCTTACGTACTTGCAGCTGTGTAAGAGAAATTGGCTGCGCGAAAGTTGCAGAAAAATTGCAAGTTGTCAATCAGATGTACTGTACACGTTTGAAAGAACGGAAAAAGATCATGAATCGATCAAAAATTACGCTCAGAGACGTAAATCCACCTTAACCAAACTCTCGCACTTGCAGCTTCGTAAGAGAAATTGGCTACGCGAAAGAGGCAATAAATTTGCGTATGATAAATCAGGTGTATCGATACCTCGAACAGGATGAAGAAAAATCGACGAAACAAAAATTTCGACAAGATCTATAAACGTCCGAAGCGAAGAAACGAAGCCTTGAAGGTCCAAGAAAGAATACTGGTCGTGTAATTCTTGATTCATCTCGGTGAACCACATATAAGGGCGAAACGAGCAGTGGCACACAGAGAGCCGACCAATGGCAAGCAGTCAGACGTGCTTTCTACTCACCGCAACCCCGCTTCTCGAATTCGCGGCTGATCCTCGTGGTCCTCTTTCACTGATTACCTGTGCGCCAATACGAGAGCGCGTGGGTCGTGTGGGACCTGGTTACGTAAATATCGGACGATGATCTTTAGAAGTGACGTAATCGAGCCAGCATAAACGCCTCTGATCTTTCGTGGGTTTTGAAACAGCCTCTGCTGTCCTTGGCACCCTTAGGTAGCTCGGTCTAACCTAATCGCGCTATGCTATCACGCTTGTTTCGGTTCTACGATAATTCGAAAGCTTCCACTTCTCCTTCAACTCTGGTTTAATCCGTAGAAAACATCGTTACAGGTTCTGCTAGATAAACTTATGTCACAAACGAGAATGTTTGCCGATAAATTAGCTTCAGTCTTTGGCTACGTGCTACGATAACTTCGTACGCTGTTGAGAGTTGCTGCGGAGCGAGCAAGGTCCCAGTGATGCTCAGTAGGCTTTAGGATTATCGCGAAGGTAGCTGCCCACCTGGTTCCCCAGGTCCCTCTGGAATTCCTGCACGTTCGTCTCCGATTGCTAGAGAGTGGACAGTCGAGCGTTGAGTGGGTAACTCGAACTGCGAGGAATTAGGAAAATTGTCTTACGTTCAGGGCGTCCTTCCACTCGATGTTGAAGAGTCTCACGAGACCCAAAACATTGCGTCTGATCAGACTCTGTAGTCCTGATCTGGTCAACGCGGCTGGGGCCTGCGTGGTCGTCGTGGTTTCGTTATTATTGACAGTGGTCACGTTGCTTCCAGCGCTGGTCGAGTCTGCAGCTGTCAAGGATCCGCTCATCATCGAGCTCTGCGTGGCAGAGTCACTCGCGATGCTGTTGTTGATCATTTCGCTGATCTGCTTGATCGCTGATCTCGTGTCGTTGATCGACTGAAATAAGCGCGATTTAATTCCAGAGACCGATAGATGCAATTTTAGCCACGAGGTTAGAGATTCTAGACACCTTACCTCGAACGTGATCTTCGCAAGGGTCCAAAAGAATCCAGGCTTATGCTTCTTCACCGCTCTGACGACTCTCTTCGACTCTTCCGTGATGATCCTGTCCTTTACCCCATTGATCTCTAGGTCCTTTTCACTTGGATCTTCGGACAGTAGCTTGTCGAGGATCCTCATTTTCTTTGCAATCTCTTCCTCCTTCAAGGTAGGCTTTGTATCCTCGGTTTCGAGTTTGACACTCTCTAGCTTGGATCTCTGCAAGTGATCGCTTGACCCAAACTCGTGGTAGCTGGGAGACACGTCTGGCTGCAGATACACAGTCTCTGGCAACCTTTCAGGGTAACTCAACGTCAAGGAACTGTCAAAGTGACCGATTTCGCGAATAGTCTGACGCGTTTCGCCATATCGTGTCGGATGTTCCCGCACACTGGGAGAGATATATCGTCCTGGCAGTTCTGGGATTCCGTGCAGCTGGTGTGGTACAGGGAACACGGGGTTGTAGAATTCGTAATTCGGCCAGTGAGACCCCCGTAGGTCGCTGTGAAGAGGATTCGCGAGGCACAGTAGCGACAAGCCGGTCACGAGTAAATTCATTGAAGACACCTGCATCTGAAATGAAACGCTGTTGACCGGTCATAGGATCCACGGAGTCGGAGTACTTAACATACACTAGAACAACAGACTTCGAGTTGCTTGCACTCAGAATTCCACCACTTTCTTCGGCAACGACTGTCAGGATGGATGGCACACGAGGTGAATCTATTCGACCGTTTCACACGGGCCACGAGGCCTTCATGAGGAGGAGAGGTAGTCGGAAAATGGAGGAATCCGCGACTGGCAGACGAGGTTGGCTGTTTACCCGACTCGTCAGACACTCGGAACTCCAGCCATCCGCGGGATTCCCATCACGTAGCAGCGTGGTGCGAGTGGCCGCCAGGAAAATGGGGAAAAATGCCACTAACGAGGCGATTCGTATTCCTCGCGCGAGCGAATTCGATTTAAAAGGTTCCCAATTGATTAGCCAACTTGCGTCTAAGGGAACGCGGAAGGTCCTACGCGACGGGCTTGCAGGATCATATTCTTTGGGCCCTGGCACGGCCGAGTATCGCCTTTGACACCGAGTGGCGGGAAATTTCTGTATCACCGTTTGCTCGCGCACCTCGCCGCGCTTTCACTTCTTGCACTTTCCAGCACACTCTCGAGGATATCCCTAGACGCGATCTAGTAATTCTCCTATTCGGATATCCCGAATTTGATGATATCGAGGATGGGACCAGCTAATCGGCTGCCAGCTTCGAGGCAGATGGAGCGTGACTGTCCAGCGAGGATCGAAATTTGGCTTTTCGTGGGTCCCTGGCCAGACGCCTCCCCTGGTGCTCCATTTTGACACGTACGTGACCTCGGGCCGGCTCGTGCAGGGAATTCACTAGCAGCGATATTCCGCCGGTTTCGAAACCGTCGATCGACCGCCGAAATTCGGTCGTGTCGCAACCGCCATCGCTATGCGATCGTTTCACCACTGACGACAGCCCGACCCTCCTCGTCGCTCGACCGGCACTCTCGCGAGTACCACGGTGAATGTTGCACTTTGCGAAAATCGAACTCGAGGCCAGCCGGTTTTTCAGCCAACGTTCGTCTATCATTTTTGTAACGATCGCGCCCTGTGTTCCGCAGCTTTGGAATCGTTGCGAGCTACGTCGCCATTGCGCAACAGGCCCGAGTGAAATCAAACTCGCGCTCGCTCGCCGAGCCGAAAAATTAATACGCTCGCAATCGGCAATCCGCTCGCGATCGCGCTCGATTACGAGCATTACGAAGCTTACGAAACCGTAAACGTCGACGTACCACGACGTTTTCGTCGTCGAATCGCACGGTTGATCGTACTTGAACGATTGCAGGTTGACACTAGGTTGCTAGGTACCTGTTCCGGTTAACCAGGTGATTTTTCCTCGCGATAATTACGGTGTTACGCGGGAAATCCGCGCGTGCGAATAAGATCGGTAACGAGGTTTTCGTCGCTTTTTGGAAGTTTTGAATATCGCGGGTCCATTTGTCCACTTTTGGCCGCGGTCGCGAGCAAACCGGTCGATACTTTCTACGGAAGCCTTCATCGCGGTGCATTACCGCCGATTATGCGATCGCGTGAAAGGACTGGGGTCGGTAAACCGATTTCAGGAAGTCCAGGAGTTATTCGAAATTAATGGAATCTTTGAAAGTTTTCGATCATTTTTACGTCTATTCAAGTTCGTTCTACGGTATAAAAATTTTCAAATTTATAATATAATTTCCGGTGTAAAATTAAGTCGGGCCTCTGTTTGGAAGTTCCGAGAGGTGTCCAGCTGCGATTGCTATCAATTATGCGATCATGTGAAAGGAGTGAGATTGGTGAACCGATTTGAGAAAGTCGAGGGTTTACTCGAAATTAATCGAATTTTTGAAAGCTTTCAATTATTTTTACGTCTATTCACGTCCCTTCTACGATATCAAAATTTCTAAATTTGTAAGACGGTGTGAAATTAGGTCGGGCCCATATTTGGGAGTTATGCGAGGTGTCCAGCTGTGATTGCTATCAATAATGCGATCATGTGAAAGGAGTGAGATCGGTAAACCGATTTGAGAAAGTCGAGGGTTTACTCGAAATTAATCGAATTTTTGAAAGCTTTCGATCATTTTTACGTCTATTCGCGTCCCTTCTACGATATCAAAATTTCTAAATTTGTAAGACGGTGTGAAATTAGGTCGGGCCCATATTTGGAAGTTCCACGAGGTGTCCAGCTGTGATTGCTGTCAATTCTGTGATTGCGTGAAAAGAGTGAGATCGGAAAACCGAATTGAGGAAGTCGACGATCCACTCTAAATTAATCGAATTTTTGAAAGCTTCCAATTATTTTTACGTCTATTCACGTCCGTTCTATAACAATTCTCAAATTTATAAGACGATGTGAAATTAGGTCGGGCCCCTCTTTGGAAATTCCGCGACCGTATCCACCGTATCCAGCTGTGATTTCTGTCGATTATGCGATCGCGTGAAAGGCCTGGGTAAACTGGGTAATTTGCTATAATCGTTAATATTATAACTAATAATAGCTATAATTAATCGAATTTTCCGATAATTATCGTTTCTATTATTGGTAAATCTTATTAATAAATTTAGTTTGGTGACGCAAGATTTATTTTTCGGGATTTTCTCGAATTGATCACACGTGACGTCGAGTTCGATTTTTCGATCGGTTCGATGACACTGTACGACACAACACACGCGATCGATCGCGATCATTCGATATTACGAAACTCGCGAGGATCCGATCGATCTACGAGGTATCGCGCGAACGTGGTGCACCGAAGATCGGTAAGGCCGCTACTTGCGAGCCAGCAGGGCCTTAGACAGGAACACGTGGATCGACAGGCATGTTTCACTTTCACTGCAGACCGACGCACGACCACGTGTTTCCTCGAACGTAAATCCGTGGTAAATGACTAGTACATCGTGTTACCTCATTTTTGCCATGATCGCGATGCACTTCGTCGCGTGTGGTGACGGAAGTGGACGCGGTCGCGATTATTTTCCACACCGATTTCCGCGACTAATGACTACCGTGTTCTCACGAGTCTACTTCCAGTCCTTTTTCACTCAGAGAGACTCGCGAGAGTCGGTTTCGACTTCCGAGATATCTTGCAATTTTTTCGCGGTCGATTTGAAATATCAAATGTACGAAGCAAATTGGAATTAGAGAAATAAGAAACAGGAAGATAGAATAATTCTCCGGACAGACTTTCTTAATGTACTTTAACTTTACTTTACGATAATTTTGCATAGTTCTTGACTTCTAAGATAGTTTGCAATTTTTTAATTTGGTTGATTTATATTATTTAATTTTCTTTATTCGGATTTCCTGGATTGAATTTTCATGTTATAATTTTATTTGGTTCTTGACTTTTGAGATACTTTGCAATTTTTCACTAGTTAATTTGGATTATTTAATTTTCTTTATTCGGATTTCCTTGACCGAATTTCCACGTTATAATTTTGTTTGGTTCTTGACTTTTGAGATACTTTGCAATTTTTCACTGGTTAATTTAGATTGTTTAATTTTCTTTATTCGGATTTCCTTGATCGAATTTCCACGTTATAATTTTGTTTGGTTCTTCATTTTTGAGATACTTTGCGATTTTTCACTGGTTAATTTAGATTATTTAATTTTCTTTATTCGGATTTCCTTGATTGAATTTTCATGTTATAATTTTATTTGGTTTTTGACTTCTGAAATACTTTTCAATTTTTCACTGGTTAATTTAGATTATTTATTTTTCTTTATTCGGATTTCCTTGATTGAATTTTCATGTTATAATTTTATTTGGTTTTTGACTTCTGAAATACTTTTCAATTTTTCAGTGGTTGATTTAGATTAATTAATTTTCTTTATTCGGGTTTCCTTGATCGAATTTCCACGTTATAATTTTGTTTGGTTCTTCATTTTTGAGATACTTTGCAATTTTTCAGTGGTTAATTTGGATTATTTCATTTTCCTTGTTCGAATTTCCTTAATATACAGATTTGACTGTTTTTTGAATCGTGATACTTAAATCATGTTACTATAATTTTGCATGTTTCTTGATTTCTGAGATACTTTACAATTTTTTAATGGTTAATTTAGGTTATTTCATTTTCCTTATTTGGATTTCTTTGATCGAATTTCCACGTTATAATTATATTTGGTTCTTGACTTTTGAGATACCTTGCAATTTTTCACTGGTTAATTTGGATTATTTAATTTTCTTTATTCGGATTTCCTTGACCGAATTTCCACCTTATAATTTTATTTGGTTCTTGAATTTTGAGATACTTTGCAATTTTTCAGTAATTAATTTAGGTTATTTAATTTTCCTTATTCAGATTTCCTCGATGTGCAGATTTGATTGTTTTTTGAATCGTGTTACTATAACTTTGCATGGTTCTTGATTTCCGAGATACCTTGCAATTTTTTAGTGATTAATTTGTTAGTGCTTAAGGAATTTTTTAGCGGCGAAGAAAACAGGAAGATAAAATAATTCTCCAGCCTAACTTTCTTAATATATTTCCAGTTTTGAGTGTTTTTAAATTGCGTGATTTAATTGGCGAATTCTTGGTTATTTGAATTGAATTGAATCTAGAGCTACATTAAATATAAGAAAAATAAATTCGAAGGACAGAATTGAATTCCAACCTTATTTTTAAAATAAAATTCTATGATACTTTCTTCTTTCAATTTCTGAGATACCTAATAAATTTTTGGATTTTGATTTAGATTATCAGTAAGTAAATCGAGGTTAAAGAAACAGGAAGAGAAGGAAAAATTCGAAGAAGAGCGGAAGCGATGCAATTTCCGCTAAATTCATTACTGCCACGGTCTACTTAGCTCGCAGTCTTTCTGCTATTACGTTTCGCAGTGAAACGCGATCGGGATCGAAATGCAAAGTAAAACCCACGAAATTTCGCGTTGCCAAATTCTCCGAGAGAATTATTTTCCGATCATTTTTAGATGTAACGATGAACGAGATTGGGAATTTCGACACGTTCCATTCTTTACAAATTTTACGTCGTCCAGCCTTTCAACGCCTGTTCCAAATCT